CTAATGTGTTGTGCCTGATCAGATGGGAAGGTAATCCTTTGCAGTGGAGAGATTTAAGCTGTTATCTAACAGACTGCGGGTGGATTAATGAGGCTTTCTGATAAAACCTTAAAGGCGTTAGAGTTTCATTTTCCCCTTCGTGCTCAGGGTGCAGGTGAAAAGAACCAGCTGGTTGACTGTGTTGCAGTTTGGACCAGAAAATTAATGAAAGGAGAGACAGGGCCAGGTAGCGGGCAGTGAGGTTCAAGGTAAAGGCTGGATTTTGGCGCTGGCTCAGCCTTAGGAAATTCTGGACAAGATATTGGATCTCCAGGCCTGTCTTCCCTTAGCTTCAAATGGGAAATAATAATACCTACCTCACAGGGATGTTGTGCAGATGAAATGAAATCTGACATGAAAGGCCTTTGAAGAAGATAAAAGCACTTCCCCGTGTGAGGCTATTATTATCATGGACAAGAGACACACTGCAGGGCTGAGGCTTGGCCTAAAACACCAGGATTCTCTGAGACCTTTGAAGGATGGTCTTTGGGCCTATATTTGCCCATGTGGATAGGGAGAATTGTGGTGGCACCCACATACTTCCCTGAGGAATGGGAGAGCCAGTGGTGTCTGGCCATGAGTTTGGAGATAATGCCATGACAGAACGGGAAGCCACACTCACTACTGGTGACTCACCCACATACTCTTGAAGACAGAGCCAAGCCCAAATTCAAGGTCCTATCCTCCAGAATGACACATGCTCAGAGTAGTGTGATCACACCCCTTCTGTCTATGCCTAATTCTTTTTTTCTTGTCCATAAGACTTCTCATAGGAGAAGAAATCTTCCAAATCCTTAATGAATTTAAATTCTAGTGGGAGAGAAAAAATAAAGACACAGAAAAGAATTTCATAACAATGAAGTCATTATGTACGAATTTAAAAGGCAGTGCAACACAAGCATTCAGGGAAAGGATGAATCGCATGGGTTGGGTACAGTTGCATGTGGAGTGGAGTGATTGAGTACCTGGTCTAGATCTTGGACCAGTTGCTTAACTGCTTTGCGCCTCAGTTTCCTCATCTGTGAAGGGAGAATAATGATAGTGCCCATTTCATTAGACAGATCTGGAACCAGTCAAGTATTTAACAGGCGATACCTATAATTTTTATTATGTTGGGGCTTTGTGGATGTGTAAGATTTAAAGAGAGGAAAGGAGAAGGTCTTTGAAACAGAGGAGAGAGGAGTGAGTGGAATGCCTGCAGACACCCATTGGGAAGCTGGCCTAAGAGGAGAGATGGTATGGTGGGAAGCTGCCCTTCAACAAACATTGCTCAGGCTTCCCTGAGATGCTGGAACACCACAGTGAGCAATGACACCCAGGGTTGATGCCCAACATTGGCTGGCCTAACTGGGAACAAGAACATGACCCTAAAAGCAAGCCTACTTTAAGGCTTGTTGAGATTACGTTGGATGGTTTATGTGCAAAGGCCGTGTAGAATTTTGTCACTATTATTTATAAAGAAAAATAATTTGAGGGATAATAAAAGATTTGCTTATTTTAAATTATACCTACAACTTATGAATCATAGCTCTTACTCATATGCAGTGTACAGAATGCATCTATAGCCTACAAGAGTTAAAGTACAATAATGTGAGCGCTTTATCAGTAAAACTTCAGAGAATTTAAAAAGCTCTGTGGTCTTACTCCCCCTGCAGACACGCATGCACGTGTGCAGATACACCAAGCAAATGAGTTTGCCCTTTATCTTGTAGACAATTGTGAGAAGGTGCCTGGAAAGGGGTACAGCATAATGAAAGTGATGTTTCAGAGGATTCTCCCGGCTGCAGTGTGCACGATGGCTTAGAAGGCGGAGTGAGATGGGGAGATCAGCAAGGAGGCTATGGCAATAAGTCAAGTTAACCGAATCCAGCGTCTTTTTCTTATTTTCCCCTGATGTTGATACAGCGCAGAATTCAGCAACGCCTAATACCACTGAATGTACATTTCAATCCTTCATGCTCTCCCTGTGCCTGCCGTGTGTTCCACCTAGATTCTCTCGGCCCTCCTTGCCAGCCCAGCCTGCCATTTGGAGGCCTACTGCTCTATCCCCCACCTTTAGGGTAGAGTCACATAGAAACCCTTCCAACCCTAATAAAAATCCTCATCTTTAAGAACTCCACAAAAGAGCATATAGGGATGGCCGGGCGGGGGCATCTGCGGAGGTATGCTCAACTAACACGACCACAACAGGAGTGCCCGTCTCCTCAGGGCTTCCATGTACCAAGCACGGTGATGAGAGCTTTATAGAAATCATCTCATTTAATCTCCACAACAAACCCAAGAAGTGGGTATCATATCTCCCCTATTGCCTTTTACGGACAAGGCAATCTTAGTGAGGGGCTAAGCCACTCACTAAGGTTATGAAACTTAAAGTGAGGTTATGGAATTTAAAGTGAGGTGGAGGAGAGCTTTGAGCCTGCACTCCCACCACTGAGCTTCCTGCCTCCCTGGGTCTCACTGGAGTCCCTGCCTCACTCTGGACCGTTAGTTCAGAGGATTCTTGAACAAAGGTAAGGACACTGAAGATACTTCACCTGGCCTTTCTGAGTCTCAGATTCCTTATTTATAAAATAAGGGGACATGGACTAGCTATTTTGGAGCAATTAATTGTATTTGGACAATGAATCAGATGAACTCCAACAAAGCAGATACAGTCGGCCCTCTTTACCCTCAGGTTCCAAATTTGCAGATTCAACCAACTGCAGGGCGAAAATATTTGGGGAAAAAAAATAAAAATAACACTCCAACAATAAAAAAAAATACAAATTTTAAGAAATACAGTATATCCACTATTCACATAGCATTTACATTGTATTAGGTATTATAAGCAATCTAGAGATTATTTAAAGTGTATGAGAGGATGTACGTAGGTTATATGCAAATACGATGCATTTCATATAAGGGACCTGAGCATCTCAGGGTTTTGGTATCTGTGGTATCAATCCCTGCTGGATACAAAGGGATGACTGCAGAGGATTAGAGGATCCCTGAATAATTTTCAGCTTGGGCATTCTAGGAGCCTTTTCTTCAGCCTCTTGTTCCAATAATTCTCACTATCTTGCTGTGCCTTTGATCTAGTCTAAATCACCTTGCACACTAACTCATCTATTTTAATGTGCAAATTCATCTCTCAGCAGCAGCGAGATGAACTCCTTGTGTGTGTGGGGCTGTGTATGTGTGTGCTTGTCGGCCGAGGGGAGTTGAGGGATCTAAATGAGCATCCAGAGCTACTGAAGAAGCCCAAATGTAAAGTTGGGGACAGCTGTGATAATGGAGTGATGCTCAGGCTGAGCTGAATTGGCACATCTGGCAGGCAGCCACCCTCATTTAAAGCAGCTCCTTCCAGCCTCCCTGGTGACAGGAGCCCTGCTCCAGAACTGGGGGGATCTGAGGCTGGGGTGGCTGGCAGAGGTGATTGGCAGCCCACTGTTCCCTGCTTTGCCAGCACCCTAAGGCTCCCTCCCACCTAAGCCAGGGCTGAGCCTCAGAGCAGCCAGGAAAGCCTGATCCAGCCCCTGGGCAAAATCAGATCACAGGGCAGAATGTCTCCAGGGAGAACTCATTCATCATTTTGCCTTTTTGAAATAGAGATCAAATTAGAAGTCTTGTTAAAAGGAAAGAAGTCATCCAGCAGCTTCAGGTCACAGAAGCCCAGTGCTTGGCTGGCATGTGGCCACCCACAGGGCCGGGAGCTGCTGGAGGAGGTGGTGGGCAACTGGATGTCCCGCTGGGCTAGCACTCCTCTTTCTAGGGCATCAGGGAGGGTAGGGGCACGCAGCTCTGGGGCTTTAGGAGAAAAGAGCTAATGACATCCTGATGAATATATGATTGGAGCTATAGTCGTAGCAATCAACAGGTTTTCCTGATTATAAACTGAGGACAAACTGCAAGTAACAGAGTAGTATCTGTTTGCAAAGAGGACTTCAGAGCATTGATCCTAGCACCTTCCACTTCACACTGGGTCCTGTTGATGCCCATGCACCCCCGGCCCCAGGCCCTGACAAGGAGCGCTGCTACCCTATCCCTGAGCCCTGAGTGTGCTCATAACCCCATCCCACCCAAGACCAGTGCTCTCAGGCCCTGCTGCCATGGGATCATGTAAGAAGGCAGGCTGCTGGCTGGCAGCTGACTCTTGGGGTAAACAGAGCCAAATACATGCTTGCCTTTAGTGAGACGGAGGACCAAGGAAGATGAGCAGATCCATGAGGGTGGGAGGGGGCAGATAATGGGTTCATGGTCATTTCCAGTCTCAAAAAGAGTCGCCATTAAGTAAACATTTTCTATCTGTCAGTCACCTATGCTAGGTACTTCATGTATATTATATCCAAACCACAGAAGAGGTAGGTGTTGATATTCCATTTTATAGAGAGGAAACTGAGGCTCAGAGAAATGTGGTGACTTTTCTGCAGGTCACGCTTAGTACGGAGAGGAACGCTTTACATGCAGGAAGAGTTAAGAACATAGCTTGGAGTCAAATTCTGACTCCCCTGCTTACTGGCTATGTGATCCTGGGTGGGAAAGTACTATTCTCTTTATATCTTAGTTTATTTACCTGTAGAGTGGAGATAATACCTGCCTCACAGTCATTACGAGGCTTATGTTGGGGCAGGATCTTCAAGTTTTGATAGGGTGCCTAGTGCAGAGCAAAGGCACAATGCACGGGGGAGCTGGGCGTGGTGGCTCACTCCTATAAACCCAGCACTTTGGGAGGCTGAGGCAGGTGGATCGCTTGAGGTCAGGAGTTCGAGACCAGCCTGGCCAACATGGTGAAACCCCGTATCTACTAAAAATATGAAAATCTGGGATACAGGCACATGCCTGTAATCCCAGCTACAGGAAGCTGAGACAGAAGAATCGCTTGAACCTGGGAGGCAGAGGTTATAGTCAGCCGAGATCCCACCACTGCACTCCAGCCTGGCCCACAGAGTGAGACTGTTTCAAAACAAACAAACAAACAAACAAACAATGCACAGGCAGGATTTATTCTCTCTGCGTGTCTGCAGGATGCCAGTCTGTGAGGACCAAAAGCTCATTCCATGGGAAAAGGAGTCAGTTCTAAATGGGTTTTCTTCACCTCTGATTATTCTCTCCTTTAATGGAACCCTTGGAGAGCCTCTATTTTCAAGTTATTTAGAAAATGAGACCTCTTACTTAAAAAAAAAAGCGATGTGGGATTAAATGTCTTCTGTCCTCAGAATATTAGGTTAGCGCAAAAGAAATTGTGGTTTTTGTCATTGCTTTTAATGGCAAAAACTACAATTAGCTTTGCACCAACCTGATACTTCTTAGTTGTACTCTTTCCCTCAGTTATCCAAGCCAAGAAACTCTTATTTGAACAAATCCTCAAGAAAGTGCTTACAATAGCAGCCCCTTCCTATTGTTTCCCCTCAACTCTGAACCTCAGTCCCACCTTGCGGTGCACTGGAACCACCATCCTCACGTCATCTATGAAGACAGTGAGCAGCTCTGGACTGTCTGTTACCTGTCACCTCTGCTGTGGCTTCAGGATGGTGATGGAGTTCCATCCCAGCCACATCCTCTTTAGGATGGAAAAATCCCAGCTCCTCTGCTTGTTGAACCAGAAGACTCTGATTATCCGGAACAAGCTGTGTCTCCAAGGGTGGTATCGGGGCTCCTGGCAAGTAGAGATGAGGCCTTCTTAAAGATGGCGTTGGTATTTTCCATGCTGCCTGGAAGGTTTGCATGGCAGCATGTGTTACGGGTAACAAGGTTGGGGCAGTGGCGGGGGTGGATCCACACGGGGGAGGGAGAACACTAGCATGTGAAACATCTCTTCCCACCTGTGAGGACAGACAGCTTCAGGTGCAGCAGACTCTCCTCCAAATTGGAGATGACTGCTCTTGGCAGGCACTCTGGAGCAATAATCATAATAACATAATTTGACATTCCCCACTCTTTGGGGAAGAGAATACACCTATAATAGCCATTTTCAAGAGCCAAGGAGTGCAGCCAGAGCAGGGGAAGGAGGGGCCTGAACTTCAAAGGAGACAGGCCTGGTGGTTATGAACACAAACAGCCTTTCAGTTTTCAAAGCTCCACGGAATTCTCTGTGAAAACAGCAACTTCTGCAACCTCCAATTTTCTTCTTTGTGCTCTGATTAGCATCAAGCTGTTCTCCCTTTGCAATTCAGTAGCCTCTTGAAGGGTGTTTGTTTGCATGATAGGACTGATGGGCAGGTCCTGGCTTCTCTACAGTGGCCTGTCACTTGCTTGCCACCCAGGGCGTCACCACAGAGTGCCCCAGTGAGCTCCCTCCAGCCATATGCAGTACATCAATCTAAGTGAGGGGCTCAGGCCATTGATTCTCTTCCACTGCCCGCCCCCCTGCCACCAAATGCCAATTATTTATATTGGTTTCAGAAACAAAGTTCTTAATTTAAGCCAACAGCTGCCTTACCTGTGAAGAACACTTTCTTTGGGTGTGTTGAATAAAATCTCCCTGGAGGAAGAAGATTTCCTTTCCTACATGTTTCAGAGAATGGCCAACTTTGATTCCTTAAAGGACATGAGCTTCTCCCTTTCCCAGACCCTTCAAACTTAACCCAACTGACGTCATAGTTGATACCTTCAATCTCAAGATAGAGTCTGGTAATCTCTTATATTTGCGTAGCGCTTTATAATTCCCAAAGTGCCTTCACCTCCAAAACTTCATTTAACCTTTACAACAATGGAGGAGGTAGGTTGGGCAGGTATTAGTGTTTCCAGAAGCAGTAGCCACAGCTCAGAGAGGTTAAGCAACTTGCCCAAAGTCACACGGCTGGCAGGTAGCAGGGTAGGACCAAAAGTCTTTGGAACTTTGGTCTGGGACTCCTGACATTCACTGTACCTGCCTCCTATTCTAAAATGATTATGTGATTGTAAGGAGGAGCCAGAGAGTAGTGCCACTTATTGGACTTCTCACTTAGGGACTTGCAGTCCACAGGTGACCCTGGTTTACAGCGACCCGGGGGCAACTGGAAGGGAGCATTGCCTCTGGGGATGGGGTGAGAGTACAAGGTGGGTTAGGGAAATGAACACATTCGCATCAGTCAGGGTTCACTGCAGAAAGAGAAGCCTGTGCTTTGGCACCTTAAGCAGAGAACAATCTAACCCATGGAACAGGGTGCCTATAGCACCACCAGATGGGCTGGAGGAGGGTGCCAGGAAGGACCCCCAGGAATGATTGCCAGAAGGATTCACGCAGAGCTTTCCTAACAGGGGAGACACCACCTACCACTCACCCCACTGAATTTAAGAGCACACGCAGTGGCTGCAGGCCAGGAGTCTGCTGCAGGCCACCAATGACACCAATGCAACTCTCTCTCAGCACTCCACAGCTGGAAAATGGATGCTGAAATCCTGCTACCAACAAATCTGATGTTTCCAGCATATTGCCAGCAGAAAATAGCAAAAGGGGTAGGAAGCGGCATTAGATTAGCCACAAGTTCCCACCTAGAATTGTTGCTACACGGGAGTCTGGGCAATGTGGCTTTTTGTGAGATGGTTTCTATCTTCTACAGAACAGGAAGGAACATTCAAAGGAGGGTACAATGGAAGTTGAGTAAGCCAGTACACAGAGTCCACCATAGCAGCCAGCCTAAGGCCCACTCTCTTGTTATCCATGAAAACCCGACATGCAAACACTCTGACAATGAATATTTGATTCTGAAGTGGATATATCAAAGGTCTTTATTAGCATAGGAACAACCCATAGTGTGCATTTGTGTGTTCCCTAAATGCACACAGACACCGTATCTCTCAAGAATCACTGATGTATTTCATTGTAGAGTTGAGAATTTCTAGGCCATGAAGCTTTCTCAGTTGAGCAGCAAACCTGTCACAATCAAAACAAACAACCCAGGACATAAGTGCCACAGTTCAGGCTTCTGGAGCCCAGAGCCAACACCCTCTCAGATGGAAGCTGGCTGAGAACGTCAGTCCTATCACTGGGTGGAAACAGAAGTGGCTGTGGCACTGGGGTACCCTAAAGATCACAGGGGTAAGACAGACCCTCAGGGAGGCCCACAAAGCACTGAAAACACTTGCTGCAGGTGGCAGGTGTGTCAGGCTGATCAGACGGGACCTTGCTCTCAAGAACTCCCCCACAGGTTGCCACTTTGAAGTCATCCTAGCTAATGTGCTTGCTTTCTATAGAAGAAAGATTTTAACTATTCCTTCCATTTGAACAACCAGACAGAACTTGAAAGGACCTTAGATATTATCGAGGCCAACCCCCTCAATCTACAGAGGAGGAATTAAAGGCATGTGGATGTAAGGGAAGGAGCCTCTCTCACTCAGTTCCTGGGGTTACCCCTGCTCTGTGCCAGGGCTCCTTCGCTCAGCCACAGGTGGACACCCCCCAGAAGCACGTGCAACGAGGTGCATCTGCACATCAGAACAGGAGCAGAGCAGAGTGGAGGTCTGAGCTTAACAGAGAAGCCATGGGCACAGTTACAGCCCACATCTCTTGCCCTCGCTCACTGGGGGCCTCGACATGCTGTTCTGCGTCTCTGCTTCTCCACTGTTTCCTCCTGCATGAACATGTGACCCTCGCTGGCCATTCCTCCATATGTTTAGGCTGAGACAAAGAATATGAAGTGGGGGTCTGTTTCTGGAAAAGTAGAGAAGAGAGAAAAGAGGGAAGAGAAGGGGAGGTGGAGTGGGGTGGGGGAGAAGGAGGATAAAGAGACAGGGAGAGGGATGCAGAACAGCAGAAAATGGAATGGAGAGAAGGCAACGGCAGCAAGTGTGAGCAGCAAGTCCCCATCAGACAAGCTGATTCCCTCTCTGGTTGGAGCCCAAGAGCTCCCGTTTCCTCTAGAAAGGCTTTCTTCAGAGAAGCAGCTATTGGGCTTAACCTAGGTCTGCACAGAAAGCATGAGGGCTTCCCACAGCATCCTGTGAGGCACGCAGTCCCAGCCAAAAGTCAGCGCCTCAGCTTAGCTGCTTTCTGCAATGGGACCGACGCTGGGTCAGCCTGGCTCCGTGTCCACAGCATACCTGGGCTCAGCTGTGCACAGCTTCCCCAGAGCAATGCCTGCGTTCACCTGCACGGCCGTCTTCTGTGTGTCACTGCCTGCGAGCCTTAACAAGACCTGCAGGAGGTCTGTCTTTAGCAGGGAAGACGCAACGTTGGGCACCTCCATGCAGTTACCAAGGCAGAGGGCAGCGTTGCCCACCAGAACCTCATCCTCTGAGCTGAGCAGCTTCATCATAATGCTCAACTCTGCAGGGAAGGAAGAGAACAAGCAACAGCTCTTTTTAATCCCCAAATAGGAGGCTGGCAACAGGACATGAGGGGCACAGGTAGGTGTCAGTGGACACCGAGCTTCCCCAATAACTCTGCAGCAGAACTTGTTCACTCACTCATCAGCAAACATTCACTGAATGCATATGAACCTCCTCAACTCCTTGCTGAATCTCTGAAGTATCTCAGCTTCCCAGAACAGTGTCCAGCACAACACAGTTGTTAGATGAATGAATGCTATGTGTCAAACAGGTCTGTCCTCCTGAAAGCCCCTGTTCTTAACCTCTCACTGCACCAGGGTGAGAGGTCCCATCTGACAGCCCCCAGGTGGGAGGCAATGTGCTGGCAACCAAACCTGCAGGGTATGAAACAGGATCCAGGAGAAAGGCTCCAGCTTCCATGGTGGAGCCTCCTTTAGTTCACCTTCTGCGCACTCCAGGGAGTTGGTAAGAAGAACATTAGCAGGCTGCCTCTCCTGGGAAGCCTGCTGTGAATAACTACAGCCGGTTTAAGTTACTGGACTAAAGCTGGGCTCAGACTCTGGTATTTCCCTTGTTCACTAAATGTTGAAGGTGTTTTCCCCCCTCCTTCTGTGAAGGCAGAGAACTGAACTTGCTGAGAAGAGGGAGTTTCCTAGCTTTGCCCCTGTTATCTTTGAGCTGTCTGTCAGCTGGGTCTCCAGTCTGGGTATCCTACCTGTGTGCAACCAAAAGGCTAATTAAATGCTTTCAGATCTGACGTGAAACATCTTCCGTAAACATTGCTGAAGCCTGGGAGAGGTTAACAGCATTGCTGCTAAGCTCCTCCTCGACCACAGTTCCCTTTGCAGCTTCAAGGGTGGATGAACCTCTGGGATGAGGGCTCCCTTAAGGAAATCATCACTTACTTTTATCCAGTCTTATTACTTCTTCCCGAGCTTCGTGGTAACTATTCGTGCAGATAGCTAGTATCTTTACAGCATAACGTGATGCAGTCTCGCCTCCTGTCTAGATTTCAGAATGAAATCAGAAAAATATAATCAGTGCTATGATTGCTCTTGGCCACAAACCACAGCGAGCAGTTATTATAGTGCTAGTGGCTTCCTAAACTCTGAAAAGAGAATTCTATGGAGAACAGCATATGCTTCCCGGTGAGCAGGCATGGTCCCTGCTGGAACAGAGTGTCACCCGCATCCTCTCTAACCCAGCCCACACCCCTGACAGGAATGTAGGCCTGTCATGTACACCTGAGTAATTGCCTCCAGAAGGCTTTATGAGCAAGTGGCTGAGAAGAGAATGATGCTGATGAATGGCAGACCTACCAAAAAGGGAGGAAAAGGCCCTCCCATATCATTTTCCCATTTGAGAATGAGGACTGACTTGCCAAGGCTGTTAGGCTGACAGTCCTGCATGAGGAACCTCAGGAACCTAGATCATTTTAAGAGGTGACAACTGTCAAACACCGCCCTTGCAATCTCCCATGTGGGGTCTTTAAAAGGCATGTGTGCATGTATGCATGCATGATGCATAGGTATGCATGCCATCAGGAGCTTTTGGTGGGTTTGCAAAAGTCATAATGAATGACAGTCATTGTTCAAGTGGCAGCCTAAACTTAAGACCCCCTGTGCTGCCCCCTCGGTGTTAACCCTGCCCCAGCAGTAGCCCACAGAGCATGCTTCCCTGCCCCACTCAGCCTGAGGCTTTATGAATAAAGGCCACGTGTCACCACACCAACATGGGTGTGTGGACCTCATGGGCACACACATCATAGGTGGGATTCTGAGATGGCAACCTAATATAATAATCTCCTTCACCCTTGCAGGTGAATCCAGATAGCTGCTCTACCGGCTTGCTTAGATTCACCGCACTCATTTCACAGGGAAATCCCAATATCCTTTGGTCACATGGTAATTCTGCAGGCTACATGTCTCATAGATGAGTAGCAAAACCTGAGCAAAACAATGTGCCTGAAACCTACTCAGATCATTTTTATCAAGAACAGAGGCCATATATATATTTAAAGTCAGGCTTGAGGGGTAAGCAGTCTTTTTTTTTTTTTTTTTTTTTTTTTTTGAGATGGAGTCTTGCTCTGTCGCCCAGAGTGCAGTGGCACAATCCCAGCTCACTGCAAGCTCTGCCTCCCGGGTTCATGCCATTCTCCTGCCTCAGCCTCCCAAGTAGTTGGGACCACAGGTTCCTCCCACCACGCCTGGCTAATTTTTTTGTATTTTTAGTAGAGACGGGGTTTCACCATGTTAGCCAGGATGGTCTTGATCTCCTGACCTCATGATCCGCCTGCCTCAGCCTCCCAAAGTGTTACAGATGTATCTAATGAACAATTTTCTTATTTATTGAACGATCTGTTATTGATGTTCAGAGTATGGTCTGGGTAGACAGGCAGAAGCAAATCCCTATCCAAGAAGTTTAAAATCTAGCAAGGAAGAAATGGCAGCACATTAACCAAACAAAACCCGCCTTAATTCTGTTCCCCGAATAAAATAGGACACTTCAGTACATTTCAGGGTTGTAACCAATAAAGTGATCTTACCTTCAGGAATTTCATCATTTTCTTTACCACTCCTGCTTGCAAGGCCTCCTCAACAATTTTCAGAGAGGAAGAAAGGGTCCGGCTCAGAACACCAGCAGCTCTCTGAATACAGCAGAAAGAAGATAATTAAATGTCCTTTTCAGAAATGCTGACAACCTTTAAAAGTTAACAGGAAGTTTGGTGAGGCAAAATCAATCATTAACATTAGAAGCAAAATATAAAAAATAGGATGGCCAAATAATAGCAAGCACTGTTCTTTTTAATAAAACTGTCACGGAGCTGCAGCCATAGCCCCTTGCCACCCAGAGGCCCACATTATTTCAGCTTCACACAGGATCAACCAGTTCAACTCTGAGAAAGGAAGTTCTCCCTTGTGATTCCTCCCAGAGCTCTTATATCAGCAGGCCCTTTATTAGGGGATGTTTGATTTCCTGGATTGGTCTTCTGTGTCATTTATCTTTATCTTTTCCTCTGTCTTTTGTTCTAGTTTCTGGGATAGTTCATTTACTTTATTTCCCAGCTCTTCTCTCTCTCTCTCTTTTTTTTTTTTTTTAATAAATGGCAAGCTGTTACTCTTTTATGGATATAACTATCTTTAATCTTTCTCAGGATACAAATGATAGTTACTATTTTTTTCTTCTGTTTCCTGTATCATCTCTATTTCTTTTGGATCAATTTTTATGTTTATCTTGGTTTTCCTATTTATGTGTGTGGCTTTCCTGCAATGTCTGGTTGACTCTTACCTGCCCAATCACATGTACGAAAAAAGCAATAAAATATGTTTGGGTATGCTATGTTTATGGGAAGTATGGAAAGGTAGAGAGGTGGCACTCTCATATACCAGAAAGAAAAATGTTTTCTCCAGTTTCAGTTCTTTAAAGATGAAAGTGTTCTGATTTTATGCCTGGAGGATAGATGCCTGCCAGCAAACGCAGCTCCACTGCCTGTACCTCTGCTCTCTGTTGTATCAGGAGTTCTGAAACCTTGATCCTTTCATTATAAGGCAAATCTGCTACTGACCAGCTATGTGTTCCTCCGTCTGTACTCTATACGAAGGTGTCCTCAGCCCTGCCTCATTAATTACCACCCTAGCAGCTGCTCTCCATCTTCAGGAAACTTGTTAAAATTACTTACCTATTGGTAACCATTGCCTGTTCACCGTCAATGTAGGTCTCTACTTTTTTTGTTCCCCCCAATGGCTTTAATCTCATTTTAATGAGGACTCCAGAGGGAGAAAAGATAAACTTGTGTATTATCAATCTTGCTTCCCTAATCTGCTTCCTAAAGATCCTAGAATTTTGCTACAGTTGACACCACAGATCCCCTTTCAGGCCCAGGACAGTGGAGACTGTGCTAGACTAGGACCAGATGCCCATGGTGAAGCTGCTGCCCAGCAAGCTGGGAAGCACCCAATGTAGCACACACAGAATGCTGGAGAAATCTGGCCCAAGAGCTCTCCTAAATCCCTACACTCAGGTATTAGTGTAGGCCTATCTTTAGGTCTGGACCATCTGAGAATGGTGGTGCTTACCACTTTGGGGGTCAGGGACCTCTTTTGAGGATCTGATGAAAGCTATGATGCCCCATCCATGAAAATGCACATGCACAAAACCTTCACCCTATCCTGTCTGAATTGACTTTGGGGACGTTTAGAGAGTGCTACCCCCAAACAGGGTATGTTGGATCTACTCAGAACCTTTTTTAAACTGTGGAGCCAGTCCTCAGTCTGCAACCCTTGAAAGGCTGGTTTCCCAGATCCACCCTAGATGTGGCCCTGATTGCTTCTCTAGGCATTAGGGCCCTGCCCTGACAGGGAGAAAAACAGGGGTGATCACTTAACGTGAGTGAAGAACACTTTCTAGGGTGATGGCAAACAGCCTCTTGAATCATACTAATATTCTTTTCCTGATGCACTGTGCTGACATATAGGGCTTTCTCAGTTTTCTTATTCAAATGTCAGACACAGAATTGAGAAAGCCATTTCAGCATATATTTTAAAAAGAGGCTAAAACTATTATGCACAAACAACCTCTAGGATCACTGGCTTAAAATATGGGCTTGGCTTTTTATTTTTTCCTATGGAAAAAAGGGATTCTAAATAAGTTGGACACTTGATCTGTCCAATTTGCACAGGATATTTTGAAATAGGACAAATCAGATCGATTATATCCTCTAAGCTGGTTAAATTTCAGACCAAATGGAAGGGGGATTCTTAAGTTGGGTTCCTGGACTCTAGGGGATCCACAGATGACCGACATGGCAAGGAGGTCACCAAATCCCTGAAACTGCAGACAAAACTTGGTGTTTATGTGCTTGTGTGCATTATTCGAATAGTATATCCATACCGTATCTCAGAGACTCAGCAGATTCTCAAAGGTGGCAACTTGAAAAAGATTACACTGGTAACAAAACAAAACAAAACAAAACAAGAACAGTGAAAGTTGCTTCTGGATTTCCCTGGGAGAAACTTACTGTCAGGATTCCTCCATCCTGGCTGTTTAGTAAAGACAGGCACCTTCTGCTCACCTCCACAGCCCAAACCTACAACAATGGGGAGAGGCCAGCAGGAGATTTTAATTTTCTGACAATCTGAATTCTCAGCGGAGCTTCTTCTGAGCACCCTCTCCTTTTTAGCACCACGGCACTGTGCCCAGGTTCCCTCACAACACCATCTTTTACTGCTCTTATTCCTCCCCATGTCTGTCTCCCCTAACTCCGGGTAGGAACCACCTTTCACTTGACTTTGTAAACACAGCACCTCATACTCTGCTCAGCACACCTTGGATACCCAGTCTGTTTTCTGAGTGAATACATGACTGAGTGATGCATCCACCCCTCAGCAGAGCAAAGGGAGAGTGCATCCCTCCAGCCTTTTCCCATTCCACGGCCAGCGTGTGAGTGTACATGCTTCTGTCTCTTCGTGAACACGAGAATGGTTTTATGCCACAGAGTGTGTACAGGTCGTCCCAGGCTTCCAGACAGGGAGACAAGAACGCCATACCTCAGAGACAAAGGGAGCCTGAAGACACAGGTTCATCATGAGTCCCAGGAGTGTGTAGATAACCTCTCTGAACAGGGCCACATTCTCCTCACATCTGGCCTTGGAAAACAAAACAAGGTAACCAATGACCTTTCTGCCTTACAGCTTTTTATGGTCATCTTTTCCCTTGGACTAGTGTCTCAGAGTTCCCATACTCCCTAATTGCCAACTCATAAATTGCCAATGTCATGAACCTAAACGGTTTTGGAGGATCAGAGACCAGTTCCATGAGTTAGTGTTGGTCCAGGAGACTTGGAAGGAGTCTCTGGTGCCTCTGCCATGGGACTATGGATCAGGTTGGCCCTGGGTTGAAAGTGAAGAGTGAGCTGCTGAGACGGGTGATCATTCAACTCCATCAGAAAAATCCTTCAAATCAGGATCAGCCAAGATGGCCGACTAGATGCAGCCAGGTGGAACAGCTCCCACTGAGGAAGAGAGATGACTGACATGCTCCTAACAGATCTTCAAAGGGAAGACGCTGAGAGTAGATGGAGGAAAGATGCAGAAACGGGGCGGAGGGAAGTAACTGGGAACCCTGCATGGGGCTCCTATGTACCAAGGCTTGTTCTTGGCCCCCAAAGGCTCTTGAGGAATGGGTGAATTGAAGTGGCAAAGAGCAACCTAATCTCATCATAGTCCTCTGGAACCCCGGCAGGAGAAATCCCCTTGACCACCACAGACACTCAGTGAGTTGTCAGGGAGAGCTGCTTAGAGAAGTGGTAGGGGTGGCAAGCCAGTTGATGTGGAACCCAGAGGGTTGGGTGTGGAAGCATCTATAGTGGAGCATGGCCAGGGACAGCCATTTCCCTAGGCTCAAATAAGTCCCATAGGAGACTTTAGCCCTCGGGAAATCATCAGACCTGAACTCTGCAGGGTGGTCTTGCCCATCAAACAGGGCCAGTCCAACTTGAGGACCCCTTGCTCTGCTGGACTCTCCTGGGGCCCCAGCCTGGTCACACCTGCTTGCTGAGCAGTCTCGGGGGCCCTGGGGGCCCACACCATAGCTTCTGCACTGGCAGACCATGCCTGACCAGTGGAGAGCACCAGCAGGGTACCCCTATCACCATGCACCAGCCCACATGCTCCCTCTCTACACCACAGCTTCCCCTGGGCCCAAGGCAACTCCCCACATCACTTTGCTGGTGAGTGTCTGATCAGGCAGGTTTTGCTTTCCTTGCCCTGCCAGAGCATGGGAGTGCAGTCCTGCCCCTCCTCTTCCCACTGACCACCACTGTAGATGGAGTATTGATGGGCATAGAGCCAGCCAGCCCCACCCCTACCAGCAACTTGCCCTTGTGCTAGCATGGCATAGAGTACAGTGGATCTTTGTCCCTCTAGGAGCAACCTCCTCTGCTTGCGAGGCACAGAGAAGGCACAATCTTCAGCATGACCACACACACAGTCATCAGCAGGGACCCTCTCCCCCAGCTGTGTTGCCTCTGCCATTGTGGCAAACACCTGCAAGGAGGCAGGCACCCTGACACCTGCTAGCACCCTGCCACAGGTCTTCCGCTGCTGTTGGCATGCATGAACAAGTTAAGGTCTCATTATCACCACATTATGAAATTCTTGGGCTAACACCATCCATTGGAGTGTAGTGACCAGAGGTTTGGGATCACCTTGGCTCCCCCATTGCAGTGTATTCTTAACCTAGAGGAGCCAGAAAACAAAGTCAAGGCCCAATACAAGTCCCTGAGAGTTAGAGCATCCAGTCCAGAAATTGAGAGCTGAATACTGACCCCCTAAAATCTTCTAGAAATAAAGCCACTCAGCTGAATCCACCTTATACCACAATAAAACCCTCAAGGTCATCAAATAAGATAAAAGAAACAAATTTATCCAAAGGTCAGCAATCTCAATGATTGACAGTAGAGAAATCAACAAAGATAAGAAAGAATCCACATGATAAACCTGATAATTCAAAAACCAAGATGCCTTCTTTCCTTCAAACAACCACAACACCCCTCCAGAAAGGGTCTAAACCAGGCTGACATGGCTGAAATGACACAAATAGAATTCAGAATATGAATAGGAATGAAGTTCATTGAGCTACAGGAGTGCATTGAAACCCACATCACGAAAGCCAAAAATCATAATAAAACAATGAAGGAGCTGACAGACAAAATGGTCAATACAGAAAAGAACATAACCAACCTGGTAGAGCTGAAAAACCATACTACTAGAATTTCATAATGCAATCACAAGTGTTAATAGCAGAATAGACCAATCAGAGGAAAGAATCTCAGAGCCTGAAGACAGGCTTTCTGAAATAAGACAGTCAGACAAGAATAGATAAAAAAATAATAAAAAGGAACACACAAAACCTCTGAGAAATACAGAATTATGTAAAGAGCCCCAATCTACATTTAATTGGTGTCCCTGAAAGAGATGAGAAGAATGGAACCAATTTGGAAAACATATTTCAGGATATCATCCATGAGAACTTCCCCAACCTAGATAGAGAAGCCAACACTCAAATTTGGGAAATGCAGAGAACCACAGTAAGATACGTCATTAAGAAGATCACCTCCAAGACACAGAATCATCAAATTATCCAAGGTCAAAATGAAAGAAAAAATATTAAAGGCAACTAGAGAGAAAGGTCAGGTCACTTACAAAGGAAAGCACATCAGACTAACAGCAGACTTCTCAGCAGAAACTCTACAACCCAGAAGAGACTGGAGGCCAATATTCAACATTCTTATAGAAAATAAATTCCAACCCAGAATTTCATTTCTAGCCAAATTAAACTTCATAAGTAAAGGAAAAATAAGCAAATGGTGAGGAAATTCATTACCACCAGACCTGTAGTGCAAGACCTCCTGAAGAAAGCACTAAATATGGAAAGGAAAGACCATTACCAGCTTCTACAAACATACATTGAAGTACACAGACCAGTGTCACTATAAAGCAACCACATAAATAAGTCAGCAAAATAACCATCTAACATCATGATGACAGGATCAAATCTACACATAGAAATACTAACCTTGAATGTAAATGGCCAAATGTCCCAAGACACAGCGTGGCAAGTTGGATAAAGAACCAAGATCCACTGGTATGCTGTCTTCAAGAGACCCATCTCACAAGCAATGACACACATAGGCAAAATAACAGGTTGGAGAAAAATCTACCAAGCAAATGGAAAACAAAAAAGCAGGGGTTGCAATCTTATTAGTTTTAGATGAAACAGGCTTTAAACCAACAAAGACCAAAAAAGACAAAGAAGGGCATTACACATATTGGTAAAGGGTTCAATTGAACAAGAAGATCTAACTATCCTAAATATTTATGCACCAAACACAGAAACATCCAGATTCATAAAGCAAGTTCTCAGACACCTTCAAAGAGACTTAGTCTGACACTCAATAATAGCAGAAGACTTTACCACCCCACTGGCAATATTAGATCATTGACATAGAAAATCAATGAAGATATTCAGGACCTGAACTTAGCACTGGATCAAATGGGCCTGATGTACATACACAGATTTCTCAAAATGAAAACAACAGAAAATACATTTTTCTCATTGCCACATAGTGCATACTCTAAAATCCATCATATTTGGAAGTAAAACAGTCCTTAGCAAATGCAAAATAACTGAAACCTTAACACTCAAATTGGAAATTAAGACTAAGAAATGAACTCAAAACTGTATAACAACATGGAAATTGAATAACTTGATCCAGAATGACTTTTGGGCAAATAAACCAATTAAGGCAGAAATCAACAAGTTCTTTGAAACTAATGTGAACAAAGACACAACATACCAGAATCTCTGGGACACAGATAAGATAGTGTTAAGAGGGAAATTTATAACACTAAATGCCCTAACAGATATTCCTAATTAAAAAGTTAGAAATATCTCATGTTAACAACCTACCATGACAACTAAAACAACTAGAGAACTAAGAGCAAACAAATCCCAAAGCTCTAGCAGAAGACAAGAAATAACCAGAATCAGAGATGAACTGAAGGAGACTGAGACACAAAAACCCATTCCAAAGATCAATAAATTCTAAAGCTGGTTTCTTGAAAAAATTAATAAAATAGGTAGACCACTAGTTAGACTAAAAAAAATGGAAAGGCAGAAAATGCAAATAGACACAATCAGAAACAACAAGGGGGATATCACCACTGACCCCACAGAAATACAAACAACCATCAGAGAATACTATGAACACCTCTCTGCCCATAAACCAGAAAATTGAGAAGAAATGAATAAATTTCTGGACACATACACCATCCAAAGGCTGAACCAGGAAAAAACTGAATCCCTGAACAAACCAATAATGAGCTCTGAAATTGAGTCAGTAATAAATAGCCTACCAACTAACAAAAGCCCAGGATCAGCTGGATTCACAGCTGAATTCTACCAGATGTACAAAGAAGAAGTGGGACTATTCCTGCTAAAACTATTCCAAAATATCAAGGAAGAGGGACTCCTTCCTAACTCATTCTATGAGACCAGCATCGTCCTGATTCAAAAACCTGGCAGAGACACAACAAAAAAGAGAAAACTTCAAGCCAATATTCTTGATTAACACTGACGCAAAAATCCTCAACAAAATACTGGCAAACCAAATCTAGCAGCACATCAAAAAGCTTATCCATCACAGTGAAGTAGGCTTTATCTCTGGGATGCAAGGTTGGTTCAACACATGCAAATAGGTAAATGTGATTCATCACATAAACAGAACTAAGAACAAAAACCATGTGATTATCTCAATAGATGCAGAAGAGGCTTTTGATAAAATTCAACACCTCTTCATGTTAAAAACTCTCAATAAACTAGGTACTAAAGGAACATATTTCAAAGTAATAAGAGCCATCTATGACAGACCCATGGCCAACATCATACGTACGGGCAAAAGCAGGAAGCACTCCCCATGAAAACCAGCACAAGACAAGGATGCCCTCTCCCACCACTCCTATTCAACATAGCATTAGAAGTCCTGGCCATGGCAATCAGGCAAGAGAGAAAATAAAGGGCATCTATATAGGAAGAAAAAAAAGTCAAACTACCTCTGTTTATAGACGGCATGATCCTGTATCTAGAAAAAACCACAGTCTTGGCCCAAAAGCTCCTGAAGCTAATTAACAACTTCAGCAATGTCTCAGGATATAAAATCAACATACAAAAGTCACTAGCATTCTTAGACACCAACAACAGTCAAACCAAGAGCCAAATCAGAAATACAATCCCATTTATAATTGCCACCAAAAGAAAATACCTAGGAATAAAGCTAACCAGGGAAGTGAAAGATCTCCACAAGAAGAACTACAAAACACAGCTCAAAGAAATCAGAGATGACACAAACAAATGGAAAAACGTTCTGTGCTCATGGACAGGAAGAATCAATATTGTTAAAATGGCCATACTGCCTAAAGTAATATATAGATTCAATGCAATTCCTATTAAACTACCATTGACATTCTTCACAGAACTAGAAAAAACTATTTTAAAATTCATATGGAACCAAAAAGAAGCCCAAATAGCCAAGGCAATCCTAAGCAAAAAGAACAAAGCTGGAGGCATCACGTTACCCGACTTCAAACTATACTTACAGGGCGACAGTAACCAAAACAGCATGGTACTGGTATAAAAAGAGACACATAGACCAATGGAACAGAATAAAGAACCCAGAAATAAGACCGCATACCTAAAACTATCTGATCTTCAATAAACCTGATAAAAACAAGCAATGGGGAAAGGATTCCCTATTTAATAAATGATGCTGGGATAACTGGCTAGTCATATGCAGAAGATTGAAACTGGACCCCTTCCTTATGCAATATACAAACATTAACTCAAGATGGAATAAAGACTTAAATATAAAATCCAAAACTATAAAAACCCTGGAAGATAACCTAGGTAATACCATTCTACACACAGGAACGAGCAAAGATTTCATGACAAAGACACCAAAAGCAATCTCAACCAAAGCAAAAACTGACAAATGGGATCTAATTAAAGAGCTTCTGCACCGCAAACGAAATTATCAACAGAGTGAACAGACAACCTATAGAATGGGAGAAAGTTTTTGCAAACTATGCATCTGACAAGGGTCTAATATCCAGCATCTATAAAGAATTTAAACAAATGTACAAGAGAAAAATAAACTACCCCACTAAAAAGTGGGCAAAGGACATGAAGAGATACTTTTCAAAAGAAGACATACAGATGGCCAACAAGCACATGAAAAAAAGTTCAGTATCACTGATATCATTAGTGAAATGCAAATCAAAACCATAAGATACCATCTCACACCAGTCAGAATGGCAATTATTAAAAAGTCAAAAAATAACAGATGCTGGCAAGGCTGCAGAGAAAAAGGTACACTTATACACTGTTGGTGGGAGCATCAAGTAGTTCAACCATTGTGGAAGACAGTGTGGCTATTCCTCAAAGACCTAAAACAGAGATACCATTTGACCCAGCAATCCCATTAATGGGTATATACCCAAAGGAATAGAAATATTTTTATTATAAAGACACATGCACATATATGTTCACTGCAGCACTATTTACAATAGCAAAGACATGGAATCAACCTCAATGCCCATCAATGATAGACTGGATAAAGAAAATGTGGTACATATACACCATGGAATACCATTAAGTCATAAAAAAGAATGAGATTATGTCCTTAGCAGGAACATGGGTGGAGCTAGAGGCTATTATCCCTTGCAGGATAAGAATTAATGCAGGAACAGAAAACTAAGTACTACATGTTCTTCCCTGTAAGTGGGAGCTAAAAGATGAGAACACATGGACACACATAGGGGAACAATACACACTGGGGCCTGCCAGAAGGTGGAGGGTGGGAGGAAGGGGGAGAGGATGAGGAAAAATAAATAATTGGTACTAGGCTTAATACCTGGATAACGAAATAATCTGTACAACAAACTCCCATGACATAAGTTTACTTATATAAGAAACCTGCACATGTACTCCTGAACTTAAAAGTTAAATAATAAATAAATAAATAAATAAATAAATAAATAAATAAATAATTTTTAAAAATTAACAAAGAAAATCCTTCAAATCTCCCCAGGGCGAATGAGACTTGATCTGGGGGGCTCTTTAAGGCCAGCAGCGCATAAAATCCGAGGTTACAGAAGGGAGAAGCCACTGGCGCCATCCAGCACTCACAGAAACAGAATTTCTGGAAAAGCCAGATAACTAAGCAGCAGCTAATGCCCCCGAAGAGGATAAAGACCAATTATGAATAGAAAAGCTAACATACCAGGAGGCTCAAGCAGCCATCCCCAAATTCCTCACAGGCCGCCATGTGTCTTCGGGTGGCAGGCTCAGCACTGAGGTTTCCCATGATGGCAATGCACTGGCACAGAGCTGAGGAGCTGCTTACCTTGGGATCTGTCTTCTAAATGAGAATCGAAAGAAGGCAGAGCCTCAGAGAGCAGGCAAAGGATGCCGCATGATCTCTTGGTGAGTTCCCCACTCACCGAAAGGCCCACGAACCAACCAGATAGCTTCATGTCACACAGGGGCATCCCTGGGGTCACACTGGCAACAGGATGGAGGCACATAGAGGGGTAGACCCAAAAGGGTCTTCGCCTAGGGCTTAATCCCAGCTCCTCCATCAACCAGCTGGGAGGACCTGGGCAAATCCCTTCCCTTCTTAGAGGCTCATTTCCACAGCTGTGGCATGCTGGGGTGTGGTTATGCTCTCTAAGGGCCCCTGAAACTTCTAAGGTTCAATAGGGACAGGCTTCAGTTGCAACACACTCTCCAAGGAGAAGCCCTGCCCCCGACACTATTCACTGCCTTATCAGCTCAAATTGCTATACTAGTCTTCCTGACAGGATGACTTCCATTTGGGAACAGCGTTGCACATCGAACTTATTGTCAGCAGGGGACTGATGGAGACTGATGAACTCTATCCACCTTCACTTAAGATGCCACCCATATCCAGCTTTTCCTCCCCTGTAACCAGCGCCATCCATATGCCACCTCCACCTGTCCCTACTGTAGCTGTTTCAATAACTGACAATTGTGTAAATTCCAGCTGTGAATAAATGATTACTCAACCGAGAGACAATAGTTGTTCTGGATTGTAAACTGTGTTTAAACAGCCCCATTCACGCTGCTGAGAGTGTCTGTCACAGAGGGTGAAAATGAGGGTTTGCTCACCAGAACGCTTGTGACTGCAGGGAGAACACCTGGAAGGTTGGCCTGGAACCAGACTTGGAATCTGTCGAGAAACCATCAGCCAGGATTTATTTTTACATTGCACAAACTGTAACATAAATACAGTGTCTCAGATAATTAACGTTGTAAACTCTAGGTCCGTATGATTTAGACTGCATGGAGAATTCAGAAACAAAAACAGAAAAAAACATGTCACTATGTATGTAATGTGGCTTTAATTTTTCTGAGTCTGGAGAATTGCCTTTGATGTTAAACAACAGATCTCAGATGGTGGCTCCCTTAAGCAGGGGTTGCTGGAATCTCTAGGCTTCTAACAAGCTGACTTACCCCCAACCCCTGCTCTGAGTCTACAGCATGTGTGTGCTGTGCGGAAGGCAAATACCGTGCAAGCATGTTTACCCATCGGAGCCACTGGGAGGGCCTGGATGCATGTGCATCTCCACATGCTACAGCCACTGTTCCATACCCTGGCCCGTGCCAGCTGGCTGGCCTGCCTGTGAGCACAAGCAGCTCTCTCATCCCATTACCATCTTTAAGCAAGGTGTCCTAAAATTTGTAAGGAAATTTAAAACACAAGATGCACTTTAAAAAAAAGCTCTTGAAAAATTATGAAAACTAAGACCCTTACTATCATCCCCAGCAGCCAGGCAAAACAAGACAAAACAACACAAAGCCATGGGGCAGAAGGAGGTCGTTACTCATGATGTCACTGGCAACCCCAGAAGCGGCTGCATTTGACTGTTCATTCTTGCTTGCTGGCTCACTGGCTCACTCAGGTTCATTCAACGCGAATTTGCTGGGCAACTCCTACGTACCAGGCACTGATTAGAAGGAAGGAAGGTTCCCGACACTTTGGAGGCTTGCCTACTGTGAGAGGCACTGCTTTAAGTATGCTGCTGCTTCCAAACCCATGGAGGCCCAGGTCAGCCTCTAGGCAGAGTGACTAGAATGGGAGTGGGTGGCCGCAGCCCCCTGGGAGGCATCAGCCCTCCTTCTCAGTGAATCTTGCAATACTCACTTGGAGACTTGGCCTAGCCTCTCTGAATACGGCACATTTTTAAAGATCAGACAGTTCAACAAAGACTGAAGAAGAAATGTCAATTTCTATAAATAAAAAAAATTACCTTTCTTCCAGAGCCAAGTCTGTGAACAGTCCCATAGCAGTGTTGGCCTCCTTATCCGAGAAATCAAGAAATGACACCAGGGCTTCCAATAATCTGCAAAAAACCATAATAACCTCAGAGGTAGCTGTCCTCCAACTAACAACATCCCAACAGGGTAACCTTGCAAGGAAACCAAAAAGCAGTCAGCATCTGGGTGAAATAAGCAGAAAGGGTGCCTTGCCATGCCCTCCTAGGAAGCCTAGCTCCTTGCCCACCCGGAAACAGACACTCTTAAGTGGTTGGCTCCACCACTTAATGTGAATCCCCAGAATGCTGAATACTTTTAACCAAAGTTTATTGATTATCGGACGCCAGCTCAGAAGGAGTTTCTGGGACTCTGCCATGTGACTCTGGCTCAGTCAAGTTCATTAACTTAGATGACATCTAAATGGCATGCTTACTAATCTGCTGATGACTAAAGTGGGAGGGCCCCCTAATAAGGTGGGTGATGGAATAAAGATTTAACAAGATTGTGACAGGCTGCTGAATATATTAGATTAAATTTAATAGGGTTAAGCTCAAAGTCTTCCACTTAGAGCTGGAAATTCTGCATAAGTAACAGAATTGTGAGACCTGGTTTGTAACTGGTTCATATGAGAAATATTTAAGGATTTTTAGCCACTTACAAACACAAAATGAGCAAACAGTCTAACACAGATGCCAAAAACACCTGATACAATCTCAGGCTACCCAAATGGACTTACTGGCACCACGACAATGGAAGTAAGAGAAATTTGTTCATCCAGCAAACTTGCATTAAGCATCTACAAGGTGCTAAGTATACTGTGCTCAGTACTGAGCTCCTGGTCTCCTACAGTGATACATATGTAAATAAATAAGATAAACTGTCTTAGGTGATATGTTAGAAACAGACACATGTTGAGGGGACCAGAGTCTCGCTGGTGGGAGGTGTGGGGATGGAAGTGAAGAAGCCTTCAATAGATGACACTTCAGTGTCTCTTGAAGTATAGTGTTAGCTATTCATTCGTTTATCCATTTGACCAATCACAATGAACAAGCACTGACTGTGTGCCAGGCAATGTGGTCGGTTCTGGGGTCCTAACGATGAAACAAGAAAATGTCCTGGTTCCAGGCAGCTTGCAGGCCAGTGTCGGGCCCACGGGGACGGGTACAGAGGCATGTCAGGCAAAGCCACCTGCAGTCACAGACTACGTGGGCATAGAATTGCAGGAGCACATTTGGGGACTGCTGGCATGCAGTTAATACTTAGGATGTGAGGGGAAAACAGGGGACGGTAGAGAGCTGGACAGAGCCCAGATCCTGGGGGCCTTCTAGGGCCTGCTGGAAAGTCTGTACTTTGCCCTGTAGGGCCCTGTTCTCCAATGTGTGGTTGGTGGTGGGGGTCTCCGGGACAGATTCCTCAGTCAGTCTGAGTGGGAGGAGGCTCCAGGAGGCTGCTTTTTCATGAAGTTCTCATGTGATTCCTAGCCATTATATTTCTCAGTAATTGGAGAACCAGCCTTACAAGGAAGTTATTTCAGTGAGTTAAGTAGGAAAATAGCAGAACAGATGTGCATTTTAGAAAAATCCCTTCAGTGTACGGTGGAAGCTGGATTGGAGCAGGTAGTACAGGAGGCAGGAATTCAACCAGGGGAGAACTGTGATTGTCCAGACAATAAAGGCTAAGGGACCAGGCTGAGGTAGCAGCAGAGTAAGAAGCACTGTAAAAACACAAAGAGACGCTCACGAAGACCTGGAAGAAATGACTGGAGAGAGTAGAGGAGAACTAGAAGAAAATGAATTCAGGAGATGCTAAGGAGAAAGAGCTGGCAGCATACTATCTTATGGATGTGGTGAGGGAGAGCCAAGTCACTTCCAGGACATTGGCTTAGGTGACTGGATAGGCGGAGATACCCTCTATGAAGACAGGAAATTCAGGTAGATGAACTGGTGTGAGACCACGTTTTGATTTATTAAGTCAATGATACTTGTGGATGTTGTGATAGAGATGTCCAGTAGCAGAAGGGTATTTTCATCTCACACTCAGCAGAGTGAGACTTACACTCTTTGCTTCTTGATGAAAGCCATGGATGGGAAGAGGGACAAGGGTAGGATCCCAGGGTCCCTGACTTGGAAGGGTGATAGCATAGGGGGGCTTGCAAAGGAAACCACAAAGGAATAGCCAGGAGGTAGGAGGGGGGCCAGGAAGGATGGTGTCCTGACAATCACTGTGATAGAGTTTCAAGAAGAGTAGTGATCAATAGGACCAAATGCCACAGGACAGAGAAGGGTGAAGACTTTGACCTTGACATCTTTAAGAAAGACAGATGACAGGCTATCAGACTGGGCTTTTGGGAATATGAACTCCAGTCACCCATATCTATGGTGCTGGATCTATTTAGCCACTTATTCTAGGAGTGGTCTGGAGGCCAAATCATCAAAGGAATGATGGAGGTAACAAGGATGCTTAACCTGAAATATATCAGTATTTTCAGATACCTAAAGTACTGGAAAGCTGGAAGGAGTCTGGGCCTGGGCCTCAATGTATGGAGGCAGAATCAACCCCAGAATAGTATGGGGCAGGCAACTTACGCACAGTGTAAGGAGATAATTTATATCAATCAGAACTGTCCTGAAATGGACAGTTGGCTACCTTGGGAGGTGAGACCCACAGCCTCTCACTAACTGGGGACAGACTTCTTCCACCCAGTCTATTAGCTGCGTTAGTGCCCATCCCGAATCAAATGGAGATAAAAATAATGAAAACTGCTGGCATCTCCCCTGGAGGGCATGATGCACAGGCTGTGTGGGGGTATGCAGAGGACATCTATGCTGAGTGGGGCTTGACTGGATGGTTTCTGAGAGCCCAGGTGACACCGAGCTTCTGCAAATCCCTAACATCTTCAGAAATGGATTCCAGTGTTCCTGCTGTCAAAAACAATTTATTTGTTTTACAGTCAGTTCAGATTCTTCCTTCACCAATTTAAACCTATTTTCTTCGGTCTTAAAAATAAATGCTAATGAACCTGAATAGCACAGATGAGACAATAGCCTAAGACCATCTTGGCTTTGTCCTGAGAGACATAAACAGCTAGCCCCCCTCTCTATGTGACAATGCACACATCCTAACTGGACTCAGCACCTATAGAGGACGGTGTATCCCTTTCTATTTCCTCACATACCCTCTTTTATGGTGGCAGATTTTCTGCTCTGCTGATAAGCAACTGTCTCTGTGAGTGAACCACAGGTCAGAAAACGCTTTCATGTAATCAATAAATGCATGGTTACTTCAGTTTAGGACCCTGAACAATATTCCCTAAGAGAAAATGATTATAAAAATATTGAGCCCCTATCATACCATGTGTCAGGCTTGCTTGATGTTAGTTGTTGTTGTTTTTTTTTTTTCTATAGCAGATGCTGTTTGCTGGCTAACCCCACAGATATTCTCCATTCCCTTCTATTCTTCCTAACTCTACTACAGAAGAAGCTGGGATCATTTTTTTTTCCACTAGGGGTAGCATGTGACAAAATTCTGTCCAAAGAGAAATAGGCAGTAGCTTTTCTTGATAAAAGGGACAGATCCAGCTGGTGCTGACCCGTCTTAAAGAAGGATGTGAAGCTTGGAGTTGCAGCAAGAGGGAAGGTATGACCATGTGAGGAAGGTCAAGAGAAGGGCACAGACTTTGACCTCGACATCTTTAAGCCCCTGCACCAACAGCTGCTATCTTTAGTCTCATTTTATTAGGTGAAAAAACAAGCCAGGCTTTATTTTGCTTAAGCTCCTTTCACTCAAGTATTCTGCATAATGCAGCAGAAAAAATTCAACTGCATCACCCCCTGTAAGTGTCATCGTAAGTGAGTGATGCAGATGAGATGCCAGGGCCCGTCAGTGCCTGGGTCACACAAGCAGAGACATGCAGGGAATTGAAGCTCAGTACTGCTTAAGACTAAAACCCAGCACTTCTGACAAAATGACACTGGTCCTTGGCCAGCACACATTCATGCCTTCAACCTCTTCTCTGAGGATAAGCATTGTGGGAGGAATGTGATAAGTGTGCTGCCGTGACGGTCATGGGGCTATGCGCAGCCCTGTCTTGCTTCAAACTGCCTCATTTCATCACTGAGAACCCATTCTGTCTGGTTCAACTGGAGATGCACGTTAAGGAGGCTAGTGGGCATAAAAGTAAAAAGCTGAGGTTTCTCTGACTGTCTAAAGAGAGTAGGCAGGACCACACAAGGTGATCGTGAACGCCACTCTGCGAGACACTGGAAAAATGCACATTGAAACTCAAGCAATTCAAAGATAGCTTGAGGGGAAAAGCCCATGATAGCTATAGCTACATTTACTCAAAGAGACAAAAACAATATTAAAAAAATGCGATGAAGGTATTGAGGAAATGACTGCAGTCATTTGAAATGCGAAATGTGCTTTTGGGGAATTTAAGTCCACTAACAATCTGCATCTGCCGCGCAGCCTCAGCTTCAGTGGCTTGCCAAAGCCTTTCCCGGGAGCCACTGCGGCTGCGACTGGGCCTGGAAGGGGAGCCGTAGGCAAGGCATAATAACCACCCTGTCACGGCACACATGGACCTCCACACCAAATTGGACCGTGTGGGAGGGCTCGGCAGGGTCCTAAAAAGATCTGGAAGGAACAGGAGCCAGCTGCAGCAGGTCTGGCTCCTTTTCCTACTGAGAACACAGAGTGGAGCTGGGTCCTCAGAACAGTACCTGGGGGCTAGGCTAGTTGGATGAGATTCCCGTGGTTCCTTGCTATAGTTCTTCCTGCCCCATGAGTGACATGAGGTAATAAAGCTTACCTTGCCTACCTCGCAGCATGAGGGGAGATAAAACAAAATAGCAGTGAACAAAAAAACTCAGAAGGGTAATCTCCTGTTTTTAGATTGTGTGAGAAACATTTATAAAGCAAGTTACAATAATCGCCACTGTTTCTGTTAGATTGAACCACATGAAATGGCGGGCATGCAACCTTTTAGATCTAATAAGTGACAATTTCATATGTTCAAACTAATCATGTAAAGATAAACTGAAAACTTAATAAAAGTAAATAAATGAATAAGTAAAACAAGTAAGCAAAATAACAAATAAATAAATAATTTAAAAATGAAGTAATAAATTATAAAGAACTGGGCGGAATCACTGTGGTTCAGTAATCTTTCTAGAAAGTCTACTTAGGGGACACACATTCTATGCTCATAGTCTTACACTTTGGAAAGACCTCCATTTAACAGTATTCGAAATGTTTTATTTATTCATAGTGCATCTTGTTCCAGAAAGGGTTTAAGGACACATAGAATAAGATAGGATTACCTCAAATAAGAATGAAAGAAGAAAAGGAAGGGTAGGAACAAGGTAGAGATAGGACCGAGGCCAAAGGCACAGAAGCAAGTAACCTATTTTAAGGTGGGGCTCCTGATCTGGCTATGGAAGGGCTGCCATTTGCACCATTTATGGGATGGGGACAAGCCAGTTGCTCAGGAGAAGTGAAACTGTCCATGGTACCAAGTTCAGACAGGAGTCTGTCTCAGAGGTCCTCATGACAGAGCACTCTTGTCAAAGGCTCTTTCTGTTATTGATCCTTCAAGTCACACATCAGAGATATAAGGGGGAGACAGGCACGCCTGAACTTGTCAAGTGATGACACGAGATGTCCCAGGAAGATCCTGCCAGCAGAGGCTTACCTGGTCAGGTCAAGGTGGCTGATGATCAGGCTCCGTCCGCTCTCAGTCTGGGCGAGCTGTAGCAGCAGGGCAAGGCTCTGCTGCCTGATGGCCAGGACCTTGGAGGACAAGAGGGTGGCCAACAGCCTGGCCCTGTCAGGGTGCATCACTAGCACACGCTGATTTTCCTCTGCAAAACACAGGCGTTGTGTCTTGTGCGTGCCATCACGGCAATTAAACTAGCTCTGTCACCCTCTCTCCTAATGGGAAACTCAACTGGTGCCCACTCATTTGAAGGCAGGATAATGAAGTGTAAGAGTGTGGATTCTAGAACCAGACTGCTGGGTCTGAATGCCCAGGGGAGTGACCTTACCAGTGCTCCTTGGTCTCCTCATCAGTAAAACGAGGATTATGTTCCTACCTACAGGGACGTCATGAGGATTAAATGAATCAGTACGTGACTGTGCCAGACAGGGACTGGCACACAGAAATCAACTATGTCATTATTATTGTCAAGTCTCCTTGGTGTGTGGTATCTGGAAACACTAGCAAAGGGAAATAAATCAGTTTAATTGTGGAATGTCTTTAGACCATCAATATTCACACAATGGCTAGAGTGGTCATTTGAGGAAATGTTATCCAGGAAACTAAAATATCACATAAGAGCATTAAAGAATAAAGTGTGCCCTCCTTCCTAGAACATAAGCTCTTCCACGGTGGTGGCAGTAGATTTATCCCCTTTCATCTGCTTCATTTTCTGACCAGGTACATGAATTTGTTTGAAACTGCAGGGTACAGACTGCAGTATGAGGCAAAGCTGTGAAACAGAGCAAACTGGCTCTCAAAGGGGTGGGTCTCATCACATGGACCTCGTTACCCTAGGCTCTCTCCCCTCCTGTGCTAATTGCCCATTTACACACAGCACACAGCATCCAGGAGAAGACACACACCAGGTTTCTGCTTGCCCTGAAAGAGCCGGAGTAACAGGACTGCAGGATCCTATGTGTAGCCCACATATCAAACCATGTTTTCGTTGCAAACATTACATCTCAGTCCCACACTTCACCTATAATTACTCTTGTCCATGTAAGATAGGATCTACCGATTTCTGAAATGAAAAGGTCCTTGTTGATTATATATTTTTTTCTTATACTAGAAAAGTAGCTTGATATAAATAATTCAAACAACACAGAGTTAGTTGATACCCCTCCAGGTAAGCCCATTCCCCAAAGGAGGTATTATTCACCTCTCATATAAATAATGTGTAAAATATACATCCTACCCTGTAATTGGCTTCTCTTCCCCACTCCACAATAGATCACTGACATATTTTCACTTCCTTACTTTTAAGCATTCCCTTGCCCTTTTGAAAAACTGCTTTGCATTTATTGAGTTAGATATATCAAGATTTTATTGACCTGAGACACAGCATTTACATCACAGATATCTGAAAATATTTTTCAGATGATAAAAAAATGTAACTGTAAGGTTCACAGAAACAATAAATAGGTTCACAGAAATAGAGTAAATAGATGGTTATGTCAGGTTCACACTGAGTAGACATACCATCGCCAAGTCCTGCCTTCCTCACCCTCCTGTAGGGGAGTTTGCAAAAACACTGCCCTAAGCTGGTGCAGGGTCTTACACAGAGTAGCAAGGCACCTTGATGATGATAGTAGTCTGGGCATAATTCCCCTTAATGCTTGTCAGGAAATAGGCCCCCCAATTGTCTAGATTTTCAAGAGTTTAATTTCTTAAGTTCTTGATTCCTCTACTCTACTAAAAAAGAAAAAAAAAGGCATTATCTCCTACTTAACATCTCAGAGTATACAAACTGCATTCACAAGCTCTATCGCTGGCTCCCCACAGTCGCCCTGTGAAAAGGAGACATAGCTATTATTATCCCCATTTTCAGTGTTTCTGTCCAGCGTCAAACTTTTTCCTATGAAACACACTTCTTAAAAATGACAGAAGTAACTAAAATTTGTATTTACATTGAAGTTACAAAAGAGATTAAGAAAGATTATACAAAAACGTAATGAACCCTGGAAGATGCAAATATGCAAAAAGCCTAAGTGTTAGCCCAGTAAATAAAATGCCCGTGGCATTCTACTATCTCAATACTAGACGCTAATTAGTGTCTGAAGATACCGGCGGGGATGACTATAAATCTCAGGATGCTGGAAAGGTACTGTGGTTAGCAAAAAGGAACAATATTTTAGGCTAACAAGAAAAGAAAAACTCCATCTACCTCATTGCCAGTGCACGAACAGAAGTCATGAGTCTGCAAAGAGCAGGAGGAGAGGAGAGAGGAGACCACTCATTATGCTGACAACCTCCTCCCTTCATTGACCTCACCCCTCATCTGTCTACCTTGCTTTTGATCCATAAGCTTTCCTGGAGGGAGCGAGTGTGTGGGGAAGTCTAGACATCAACTCTCCAGGGCCTGGCCTTTGGGGAAGACAGTCAGCCCAACAGCGGACTCCCTTGCACGCAGCGCATTAATGGTGATCAGTGGTGATTACCCAGGCTTACCGTTCCCGCAGCACACTGCTTGCCAGAGCTTGAGAACAGACACACAGACCGTCTCTTCAATTGCATCTTTTCCTGCTGTGGAAAAACACCTAGAATGGACAAAGGAGGGCTATCTTAAAAGTCTGAAAATCAGCCTTGATTTTCTCTTCCATTTGGTTTTATTTCATCCTGAGATTCGCCAAATGCAGGTTTCAGAAAGTATAGTTTTATAATCCAGAGCCATGGGTCACCAGGATCAATCATGGAACCATGAGTCCCAGGCCAAGGACGCGGACTGAGGAAGCCTGGGCTGTACAGAGGCTAGGCAGTGAGCCAGTGCCATGGGTGATGGCTGCACTGGGACCAATGAACTGTGGCTGAGAACACAAGACATGTACTGGTGACTCCAACCCACACCGGTATCCTAAGCCTCAGGAAGCACCAGAACGACTGAAATTAAAATACAGTCACTTTAGCAAACTGCCTCCTACCATACAGGTCTTTCTTCAGATGAAATTATAAATGGGATTGGGCCATTTACATTTATATCACTCTTGATATGATCAGCAAATTCCAAAAGAAGAAATAAACAAATGACAACCTTGCAAAAACTGGTGGGAAAGCAGCAAGAATGATAATTTCTCTGACTTTGAAGAGCTTAGAGGAGCCCTGGGAAGTGCTGCTGTTCCTCTCTCTTAAATTGTTTTTTTTTTTTTTGAGACTGAATCTGGTTGTATCACCCAGGCTGGAGTGTAGTAGCGTGATCTCGGCTCACTACAACCTCCACCCCTCAGATACAAGTGATCTTATGCCTCAGCCTCCTGAGCAGCTGGGATTACAGGTGCCCGCCACCATGCCCAGCTAATTTTTGTATTTTCAGTGGAGACGGGGTTTCACCATGTTGGCCAGGCTGGTCTCAAACTCCTGACCTCAAGTGATCCGCCCGCCTTGACCTCCCAAAGTGCTGGGATTACTGGCATGAGCCACCGTGCCCAGCCTCAATTGTTAACTGCAGTGTAACTCCAGCGACTTTAAGGCCAGCACTCAAAGATGTTCGTGTAGTAGCTTTGCACTCCTGGAGAGCCCCCCACTACTGATTGAAGGGTGGTAACGTTCAGAAATGTGACTGTCTATATGCCTCGTGTCTGATTTCATAAGAAGTGGTTATCTTCCCTTGCTTTGATGCTGGGCTGTCTTTATGAACATCCCTACCTTCTTATGACCTCGTTGTCACTGATGATACTAAATCCATCGTGCATTCTGAATAAAGTTTGTTCTGTGCCTGAAACAGATACAGAGAAAACCACTTTAGACTCCCAAACTGGCTGGCTGGTGTCTAGCTGCGACACAGCCACCTGCTAATGAGAAACCTAATATGGAATGTCACGGTGCCCACAGGAATGGTTTGGCAGAAACAAATCAACTTTACATTTGGAAAAATACAATTGTCAGCAACCTCTCAATGTCAGAGGCCTCAGTGCCTCTCAGGTAGAGGGACTGTTTAGAGAAGGAGAACAGAGCTGGGGTAGCCACAAGGGCTATCTGCACAGCTCATCATTCTGTAATCTTTAGAGAGCTTCCCAGAGCTGCTTAACCTATGGGAAGTACCAGCATATCCATTTGTTCTTAAATATTTATTTCAAAGCTATTTCCAGGCTCTAGAGAGGAATTTATAATCTCCAAGAAACTGCTAAAGGGGGTATTTGTATGCCCTCCATTGTACACTAAAGAGAAGTCAGACACTCCATCTATTTGTACAAACAACATGCTGTCACTGAGTATAGAGATTATTTAAGCCTTGGTAACAATGTTTACAAGAGCTAGTAAAAGAAAACAGTATGACCCTCATTAGTAGGAGAGCTGATGTTTGCTCTGAAACCATTTTCACATCCTAAGCAGCCATCAGTGTAACTGGGTGAACCTTACAGTTTAACCTATAAAATTCTGTCTTCCATTCCTCCACAGTGGAGGGAAAGTGTGCGAGGTGGTATGGGATGCTTGAGGTGTCTGTGGGGGTATATGTGGAGCACATGCAGGATGTGCATGGGGTGTGTGGAGAAAATGTGAGGGTGGAGTGTGCGCAAGATATGTGGACTGACATGAGTACTTATGGTGTGAGTGTGCTGTGTGCGGTATGTGGTGTGTGCGTAATATAAGGATATATTCAAGTGAGTGAAAGCTGAGCGCATGTGTGGCGTATGTAAGTATATATGGAGCGTGTGCCATGTGTATGTGTTGTGTTGTGTATGTTTCTTACATGTGTGCTGAGTGTACGCACGCTCTTTAAAGAGGACGGAGCAGAGGCGGGAGGACATTCTTGTGCACCCCTTTTAGCAGCTACGTTACGAGTACATCCTCAATCAATATTTGCGGAAGAAAGGGAGGGATTCTTGAGGGCAGACCTCTGAACATGTCCCTTCACACTGACAGCACTCGTGAGATCACACACATCTCTGGCTTACACTCCTTTATCATTTCAGTCAGGATCTCAATCCCCCCTGCATAGAACAAGGGGATCTGGTCAGGCTTGGAAAGGGTCTCCAGGAGGTTCTTGGTGTTCACAGCTGTGTTCTTTCCTGAATCCAGCAGTTCATGGGCTTCCTTTTCTTGAAGGTCTGCTTTTTCCTGAAGATCTACTTGATTCAGGTAATCTAGAAAAACAAGAAAGGAAAAGCAAAACAAAACCCTAACAATCAACAATACCACACAAGAAGCAACCTTTTTTTTTTACTTTCTTTTGAGAATGGGAGTTTGAGAAGCATAAAGCATTAAAATAATTAAAACTCTTCTTTAGCAAGGAAAATTTTAGAAACAGTCTAAATCTACAACCAGAATCTTAAACCTTGTTGGAGATTCAAGGGAGTCTAAAAGTGTCTAAGGGAGGATGGTGTAGAAAATGAAGAAGGCAAATATTAATATTTGCAAGGGATTACAGCAAGCAGAGGAGCAGAGTGGGCCAGTTAACACAGAAGACTGAACTGTGCAGGAAAGAGGATCCGCTGCTGCCTTGTGGCCAAGAGCAGTGAAAGCACGGAAGGCATTCTAAGGCAGGAGGCAGAGGGAGGTGGAGTTCAGACAAGGGGTCTCAGCAGGAACATACCTTTCACCTGGGTTTGCAGCTTGGGGTTTATTTCTAAGATCTTCTTATAACACTCTCTAGACTAGAAAAAAGAAACAAGACCTTGAAGAGTGGTTGGGGTAAACGTGATTATGAGAAAGACAATGGGTGTCATTGGGCTTGGCTGCTTCATTATTTTCTCCACGCCTCCTCCTGCTCCCAGTGCAGGAGGCAGGCACAGGAACACAGTGTGCATTTGACATTTTGTTCAGGCTTCTCCAGTTCTAGGGGGCAACAGGTATTATTTCAAAATTCGTTTTAAAGAAACAGTGTTGTTAGATGCTCAGGATGAAAAATATCCAGTCTTAAATTCTTGTGGATCATGTCTGTCTGGGATAGAAATAATCATAAAGTAAATGCAAAACTTAGATATGATATTTGTACTGAGAGAGCACAGAAGGCTGTCAGATATGTCCATAGGGAGTTAGGAAATAGATGAAACTAGAGGCAATGTTGACAGAGACTCGGGAATAGGAAAAGAGAACTGCCTAGTTAAATGTACAGGCTGTGAAGAGAACCAGTAAGGGATCCATTTATTGGCCACATAAGAGTCAGCTGGAAAACTCAAGAGTGACAGCTTCTCATTGAGGAAATTGCTAGATAGAAAGTTACTGGAAAAATGAAGATTCTAGTTCATGGGATTCCTGGGCTTAGTGCTGTATTTCTCACAGGAATATAAGAACTGCCCAGAGTATAATCTAACCAGTCACCTAGAGAAAAAGCTCAGAAAAAAAAAACACCCCAAAAGAAACAAACAAACAAACAAACAGTTCTGAGATAATCTTGAAGGTTCAAAGTTCGTCTAGAAGACTAGAGTTAAGAAACAAACTGAAGGAAAAAATAGCACATTAAAGTAGAGAATGGTGTCGCAGGAATAGAAGTCTATACATCAGAGTGACCCTGTATCCAACTTCTCTTCAACCCTAGATCTAACCTAGCAACAATTTTTGTTGGCTTCACTGTCAGTAAGTATCCAAAATCCCATCACTTCTTACCACCTCCGTCACTACCAACCTGGTCCCCATCATCACCTCTTGCTTGGATATTTATTGCAATAGCCTTATCACTCGTTCTCTGTTCTTATCTTACCATGCCGAAACACATGCTCGGTGTAGCAGTCAGAGTAATCCTTTAAAATATAAGTCAGATCATTTAATTCCTTTACTCAAAATCCTCCAATAAAGCTTGAAGATCACTCAAAGTAAAAGCCAAAGTCCTTTGAAAAGCCTGTAAGGCCCTACAGGATCAGCCCCTTCCCCACCATTATCACCTGTTTGACCTCATCTCCTGTTGCTCTCCTCTTGCTGGCTGCATTCTAGCTATCCCTCCACCAGGAATTTATTCCCTTATATATCCACATGGTTTGCTCACTTCACTCCCTCCATTCCTTTAGAAAGCCTTTTCTTACCACTCTATATAAAACCAGTCTCATCTTTACTGCTTCCTGATTTATTTTTCTCAGTACTACATACCACTATCTAACATAGTGCATGTAACGTACTACACATCTATTTGATTGTTTTTTGTCTCCTGGTCACCCTTACCCCAAGAACATGAGTTCCATGAAGCCAAGGGCTTTGTCTAGTTTCACTGATGTATTCTTTATTGCCTGTATTAACAGTGTCTGACACATAGAAAGCATGCAATAAATATCTGCTGAATGAATAAATTGAATGAGTAAATAAAAATTGGTGGACACGGAAAGATTAACATTTCCTTTATTCATATTTCTTTTATTTAGCTTCATTACAATAAGCCTGCATTACATTTACAATTAAAATCCAACAAACTTTTAAAAAATGTATAATATGAAGCAATTTATTTTAAAGACATATCTTATAAATGGAAAGACATCCTATGTTCATGGATAGGAAGACTTAATAGTGTTTAGATAGCAGTACTTGCCAAATTGACTTATGAATTCATGTAATACCCATCAAAATTCCATCCGGTTTCTTTGCAAAAATCAACACAATAATCTTGAAGTTCATACAGAAATTCAAGAGCACCAGAATAGCTAAAACAATCTTGAAAAAGTAGAGGAACCAAGCTGAAGGACTCTCACTTCTCAACTTAATACAAAGCTACAAAAATGAAGACACTGTGGTACTGGCACAAGGACAGACATGTAGATCTATGGAATAAAACTGGAAGACCAAAAATAAACCCATATATTTATGGTCAACTGATTTTTGACAAGGGTGCCAAAATCACTCAATGGGGGAAAGAATGGTCTCTTTAACAAATGGTTCTGGGACAAGTAGACATCTACATGAAAAAGAGTGAAGTTGAACCCCAGCCTCACATCATACAAAAAATGAACTCAAAATGGATTAGAGATAGCTAAATTTAAGAGCTAAGCCATAAAACTTTTAGAAGAAAATATAGGTATACATCTTCCTGACCTTGGATTAGATGATCATTTCTTAGATATAACACCAAAATCACAAGGAACCAAAGAAAAAATAGGTAATTGAGGCTTTATCAAACTTAAACATTTTTGTGCTGCAAAGAACATCATCAAGAAAATGAAAAGGTAATACAAGGAGTGGAAGAAAATATTTGGCAATCATGTATCTGATAAGAAACTTGTATTCAGAATATATAAATGACATTTACATCTCATTATAAAAAAAAGAAATTTCTCCAAAGAAAATATATAAATGGCCAATAAGCATATGAAAAGATCATCAACATCATTAGTCACCAAAAAAATGCAGATCAATACCACAATGACATATCACTTCACACCCACTAGAATAGCTACAACAAAAAAATAGATAACAGGTATTGAAGAGGATGTGGAAAAACTGGAGCCCTCATACACTCCTGGTAGGAATGTAAAATGCTGCAGTCATTTTCAAAAACAGTTCGGTAGTTCCTCAAAAGGTTAAACACAGAGTTACCATACGGCCTTGCTATTCCACTTCTAGATATATACCCAAGAGGACAGTAAACATAAAAAAGAAAACCCTGCACATGAATGTTCATGGCAGTGTTATTCATAGCAGGCAAAAAGTGGAAACAACCCAAATGTCTATTAACTGATGAATAAATAAAACATGGTATCAAACAATGGAATATTATTCAGCAAAAAAAAGGAACGAAGAACTGATACACACTACAACATAAATGTACCAGGCAAACATTATACTAAGTGAATGACCTCAGTTACAAAAGACCACAGATCGTATGACTCTATATGGAATCTACCGAACAGGCAAATGTATAGAGATAGAAAGACTGGTGGTTGCCTAAGGTTGAGATGGGGCTGGGGGAAGGGGACTGACTGCTAATGGGTACAGTGTTTGTCCAGGAAGGGATGAAAATTTTTTAAAATTGATTGTAGTGATGGCTGCCTGACTCTGTGAATATACTAAAAGCTACTGAATCATATAGTTTTTATACATTCTACAGATGAATTGTGTGGTATGTGAATTATATCTCAATGAAGTTACTTTTAACGATATAAAATATCTTAGTATGGATAGATGGATAGATAGATAGATAGAGAGACAGGTTGACTGATCTGCATGGTTACTTTTGGGTGATGAGGTTACAGCAAATTTTGTTTTCTCTTTTTGCTTATGTATTTTCTCTCCAGAGACTGAACAGACACTGGTAGGGGATGTTGCAGAAGAGAGTCCTACAACTGGTGGAGCTGAACTGACACCCAAAATTCTTCCCAACTTTACGATCTTGAGCTTTACCTTGGAAAATACTGAAGGATGGATTGATATCTAATCAGCTTGGAGAATCATGGTTCTCCTCTAGCACAACTGGGAGCATCAGTCTGTGATCAAACATGTCAATTACATTCCTCTAAGAACTTACCACACTGTAGTTCTTCAGGGCCAGGTTGGCTTTTCCCATGTGAAAATATGCTTTTGTGCATTTTTCATCACACTGCATAAAAGAGAATGACTGATCAGAAGTTTTAGAAGATGTGAAGTCATTTGCCACTCCCTTCACTACACAGCTAAAAGAGTTAAGGCGAAGCTTTGATTCTCAGGGCAACTACCAGAATTGACAAAACTTTTTTGTGCTTTGTGACCAAACTAACTGATGTCTGCAAGGAGCCTGGGTGCAGCAGCAAGCTCTTCACCAAATTAATTAATGATACCTGCCACTTTTCATTTCCATTTAATGAGACGCAATCAGGAAGCAAACCCTCAGTTTAGAAGAGCTCTTAACACTGGCAGAACATTAGAATCATCTAGGATGCTTGTAAAAATCCTGCCGGCCCTGCACCCCACATCAATTACATTATACTCTGGGATAAGACCCAGGCATCAATAAGTTTTTAAGCTCTCTAGTTGAGGTAAACATGCAGCTAAGTTTGAGAGTCACTGGTTTACTAGAAGAGAACTTACTCTAAGAAAATAGCTGAGGTTACCATTACATCTTAGTGGGCCTGGGAAGTCCCTCCTCCCAAATAAACCACAACATATGTACTGGGACGTTCTGTTCATATTACTTAAGATTAGTAGGGATGCCCCCTTCAAAAGGCAGGATTGAAACTTATGGCTGAAACTAGACCATTTACACAGGGGGCCCTGCACTTGCCTGACCCTAGTCATTATAACTCCACAGGGAATGATTTGACAGAGACATACACTAAAATCTAAGACATCCAGTTAATGAACATTTATTGAACTTCTTTTATATGCAAGACATTGTGCCAAATCAGATGCCCTTCAAAGGTTTAGATATGAAGAGGTTAAGAGTTCAAGCTCAGGAGTCTAAAATGTCCTGGGTGGATCCTTGTTCTGCTACTCAGCAAAAGTGGCATGTTGTTGGCCAGGCCGCCTAACTTTTCTGACACTCATTTTCCTCACCTGGAAAATGAAGACAATAATAGTATTTCTCTCAGGTTGTTGTGAGAAAGAAATTATGTAAAACACTTGGTGTGGCTCTGGGTAACAGAGTATTAGCTGCTATTGCTGCAGTTATATCAGCAGCAATTCATTTCAGAGCAAAAGAGAAAAATCTAAATTTAATAAAAGAGAGCAGTAATAATAAGAGAGAAGAATAACAACAATAATAAAAGAGAGAACAATAATTGTTGGAGAAGCTTTTAGAGATACATTCTTGTGTATATCATTTCCCAATTCACTGCTAAGTGAATGGAAGTCATAATAAAAATAAATGTGCATGATTGTTCAGCCCAAACCATGTGCCAGGCACTAAGCTTTATGGTTCATATGGATGATCTCACAGAAGCTTTAAAACTACTCTGCGAAGCAGATACAGTTATTATCCCTATTTTACAGATGTGAAAACTAGGGGTTGGAGAGGCCCAAGGTCACACAGATAACAAGTGGAAGAGCTGGAATTTGAAATTTGGCCATTAAACTCTCAAGGGTTTAAAAATGACACCAAATCTCCTTCAGAAAGGTGCTACAGAAAAGAGCATATAAATGCTATAGAAAATGCTACTGAAAAAAATCAGTGGAAGAAAATATGCTTGAAAATGCAGTCTTTAAAAGGGCATGCAAAGGTGGAGGGATATGGGCTGAGTCTTAGTGACACATAGAGGTGAAGAGAGGAGGATGGAGGGAGAGTGGGCTGGGCAAGAACTTGAGAGTACAAGGGGCTTTGGGGACAGTCCAGCTGGGATCGAGGGGCAGGTACTTGATGGAGAGAAGATCCCATCTTGAGCCACACTGGAGGAGGGTGAGTCACCAATGGCAGTGTGGAGGTAAGCTGGTAGGAAGGTGGCATGCAGATGTGATCAGAGGAGGGAAAGGCTGAACAAGAGGTATGGTGGGCTGAACAATGAGAGATGAGTAAGGAGAGCAGAATAATCACTTAGAACAAGGGCTAATGTCTGAAGTCCTGGTGACAGTGGAAGGGAAAGGAAGTGCAGATGCCAGAGCTATGTCAAAGAAAGATCTGACCAGCATCAACTAACTATCAGTGATAAGGGTGATGGAGGATGTGAAGTCAAAACCAGGGGCCTAGATACCTGAAAGACGTGGTGTGTCATTAACAGAAAGAGGTCAGCTAGGGCAGGGAGTGAGAAAGGCTGAGTGAGAAGATGAAGAGTTGGCTTCTAGACATACCGAGTTTCAGATGACATCAAGACTATCAAAAGGCACCTGCAGGAGGCAGCTGACATGCAGCCCTGGAGCTGGGGAAGGGGAGACTGGGGAAGTAGGTCTGAGAGCCATTTGCAGAGATAAGAGTTGAGCCCATGAGAGAAGAGAGCTGTAAAGGAGTAACTGTACAGAGACAAAAGACAGGGAGCAGAGGGGTGATCCCTCACGAATTCAAAAAGGATAAAATTGAGGAAGCAGGAAAGGGACGGTCAAAGAGAAAAGAGGAAACTCTAGCACTTCAGCTCATGAAAGCCAAATATTCACAGTACATTCACTGGCAGAGCACCGGGGTTACGGCAGGTGGGGGAAACCAAGCCCCAAGCATTAAAGCCTCGTCCCCGACCTATCGTGTGTCACCGTGAAGTGTGGATAGCTGTGAATTTGCCTTCCTAAGACAATGACGCAAAAGGCTGCCAATGGATTTTTCTCACTAATAGGCCCATTGTCCTTTGACCATGTATCAACCCTCACCAGAATGTTCTTGGGTGAACCCCAGCTTCCCCTTAAAGGAATCCTGCCTTCAGAGGAAGATGTATTTCATTGTGCAAGAAGTGTTCTGCTGAGAAAGAAATGATTCTGGTCCTAATTGAAACCAGCTTTGCTGCCTTATCTTCCTTGACAAGAAACATCAGTCTTGAAATATCACATAAGCTTGTCTCTACCAATTTAAAAGTGTCAAAAAAGATTAAGTTGGCATGAAAGTACTAATACTATTAGTAACGGAGTGCCAGTGACGTTCGCTATTGATACATTAATTTTAAAGACAGCAAAAGTTTTAAATTCACAGCTGTAACATAAAACAAATCATTATTAGTTTTTAGAACTCTTTGTACATTTTTTTTTCTCATTTCTCCAAGTGTTTACCCAAACCTCTTCAACTGGGAGCCTCGCTGGGCATTTAACAAGATTGGCTGCTGAGTGTCAGCGTTTTTTAATGTCAGCTCCATTGGGCCTGCTTGGCCTCGGTTTCACTGTTAATTACATTGTACTTCAATTAACATTTGGGAACAGGCCAGTGTGTTATCCTGAATCAGCATGATGGTATGTCTGCCCTTTGGCCTTTTTCAGATCAGAAAAGATACTCTTGGTGGACCTGTGAGGAGATCATGTTTCTTCCACAGATGGGAAAGACATCCACACCCAGGGATTATGGGGTTCAAAGTTGCAGTGGAGAGGCCCTTTATAGAGGTTAAGAGCATGGGCTTAGAGTTAGACAGACACTAGCTTCATGATCCTGCACAAAGTACTTAATTAATCACTGAGGCTTGATTTCCTCGTCAGAAAAATAGAGAAAATACTGACACTGAACAGAACAGAATAGAATTTTGTGAGCATGCAGCAAATGATGTTGTTTGCTGTTATTACTGGAAAAACCAAGGAAAACATCCTTGTCTCTCTCTTCTCCTGCAGAATAATGGTAGAAAAAGAAATCATTATCAGGCAAGGCAACAAAGCAGGTTAGTGGACCTATGATGGAGCTGTGAAGAGCTTGACGTCATCAGCTTCGGCCCCAACCTTATAACTTAAAGACTATACTCATGCAATGGAACAAAATGTGCCACACATTGTATCTTCTAAGGGATAAAGAAATTGGACACTCCAGATGTCAGTGTTAAGAGGATCCCTAGTGTTTTATGAATGATTATAAGCAGAGGTGACTTTCTCATTCATCCCGGTTTCCTTTGCTTACCCTCTCAACAAGAAATAAAGCAGATATGGCCAGTATGCTGCTAGGAAAGTGTCCTCTTGTTTTCGGACATACTCATTAGGCTAGGGTAGCTGCACTGTACCCAAGAATTGAAGCCACAGGATAAACTTGGCACACTCTCCTGGCACCTCAATTTTACTTGATTCTAAGTTACTGAAAATAATGCTGTTATATCAAAACAAACAGATAACTTTCATGAAGTGCTGTGCAAAATTAACAAGGTTTTTAAGATAAAACACACATCTTAAAAGAAATTTCATGCTTTCTGCTTCTAGTCCCTCTCGAGGGGCTCATGTCCATTCTCCTCTGCTGTTAGCAGCAAGTGCAGAAGTCTGAGAAGCACTAGTTTTGGTTACTTAGTTAAAACCCCTGTGACAGAGTAATTCAGGGGAATGTGGATTAAGGGTTACTTAAATATTTGGTCATGTCCCTAAAAAGTGATTGTGTTATTTCTCTTTTAGTAACTCTTAACATTTCCATCAACAGTCTTTACGTCTATGCGTCTTTCACCATCTATTTTGGCAGATTTCGGAGGAAATGCCATGCGTAGAATTATTTTATCTGCCCAAGGCCTGACTAAAGTTGAAAAATAGGAATTCTTTCTTCTGATTATTCCTCTACAAATAGAGGATGCTATATTTTCAAATTATTAGGGCTGGAGGGAAAAAACACAAACTGACAAGGAAGAACAGCATTGCAGCATTGCAGAAATCAGCTCCAACGGCTGGCCCCGGAAGAGAGAAGGAGGCATTTCCACTAACACATAGAACAAAGTGTCTGATAACACAAGAGTAAAGAAGGAACTGTAGTAATATAAGACACTGAAAATTCAATAGCAGCAGCTCCCTGGATTGCTTTCTAGGAACCAGGCACTTTCTGTGCATTGTCATGACCCTCCTAACAATTCTATTCTATCCCATTCTACAGATGAGGAAACTGAAGCTCTGGCTACAGAGGTTATACCCTTTCCTATCTTGATACACTGGCAGCTGCCTTCTATCTACTTCAGCCCAATACCATCATGGGGGAAAAGAAATACTCTCTTACCTTAAGAGCCCATTCACAATCCACCAGGGCCTTCTCATAGTTCTTAAGTTTCATATAAGCCTGTAATGAAACCAACAGCTGATATTCACACACAACTCTGCATCAGGCAGTTTTCAGTTCATGCAGAAAGAACATTCGAACAGTAGAATGTCAGCGAGAACTATCCCCTACCTAGATCAGTCATGGTCCTGCCAGGAAACAGATGGCACACTTACACTGGGCAACTGAGAGTTGAATCCAGGGACCTCTTCCACGGTGAAGGCAGGGCTTAGGGAACCTGACAAGGGATGCTACAGAATCTCAGAGCTAGCAACAGTGGACAGCCATTACCACTGCAGTAATAGAAGGGGCAGAAGGAGGGAGCAATGAACACAATGGGAGAGGATAGCTCTGCGAAAAGAACTGCCTGATATGAGCTGAGGCCTTCACTAGAGCCAAAGGCCAGGAGAATAATACCCAGTCTCACTTTTCCTCCTTCCTTCTTATTTTATTGGCTGAATGCAAATGGAGGCTAGAAGGCTGGGAAGCCAAGGAGCCACTCCACACAGGTCAGCCCTCCAGGGCACAGTGCAGGGAAGGATCTAGAGGGACACAGAAAATACCCAGCTCACTAGCTACATCCAAGAAGGAAGAGCTGAATTCTGGAGTCTACCCTGCTGTGAATGTTCCAGAAAAACACCAAATGATAAAGGGAATAAAAAAGACAGATAATTAGAGCCCTCATACACTGCTGGTGGGAATTAAAATGGCACAGGCCCTCTGGAAGATAGTCCGGAAGTTCTTCAGAAGGTTATGTTACCATATGACCCAGTAATTTTACTCCTAGGTATATCCCAAGAAGAATATAAACATACATCCATACAAATGCTTATACATGAATGTTCATAGCAGAATTATTCATGATAGTCAAAAGGCAACAATCCAAATGTCCACCAGTGATGAAGGGATACATAAAATATGGTATATTCATACAATGGAAAATTATTCAGCAACAAAAAGAAATGAAGAGTTGATACATACCATAACATGGATGAATCTTAAAAACATTATGATAAATGAAAGAAGCCAGTCACAGAAGGACAAATGTATGATTTCATTTATATAAAATGTCCAGAATGGACAAAGGTATAGAGACAAAAAGTAGATTGGTGATTATCTCGGGCTGAGAGTAGCAATGGGAGGATTGGGGAGTTGACAGGTAAAGATGAAGTTTTTTGGGGGATGATGATGAAATGTTCAAAAATTGTGATGGTCGCACAACTCTGTGATTATACTAAAATCCCATTAAATTGTGTACTATAAAAGGGTGAACTGTATGGTATGTGAATTACATCTCAATAACGCTGCTATCAAAATATAATAAAAAAGCTCTGCTTCTGTCCTCCTGAGCACAGCAGAAAAAAAATGAAAGAAGTAGAGTGACATATGAGAGTCAAGAGCATCACCATGAACCCTTAGTATCAAATGCCTGGGGCACTCTTTTAGAATCCCTTAGAATTGGGGAAAATCTTGAAAATCAAGAATTGACTCAGAATTCCGTGATCCATTCAAACTTAACTGATTGAGAACTTAGATTGAGAACTAGAGGAATATAAACAAATGAACGACTATTTATAAACAAGCACAATGGCTACTATAACCTCTCTATTAATTACTGGACACAGTAAGTGGTCAATAAAGTCTTATCAAATTGCACTAAGTAGCCTTGAAGCACTCTTCTTCTGGAAAGCTCCCTAAGAGGCAGCACCGATCATCCCATTTGTACAAAAGGATAGCCAAGCACCAGGAGCAGTGGCTTTTCCAGGGTTCCATCAGTCACCAATAATAAAGCCAGTACTACACGTAGGATTGTCCATGATCAAAACTGTACCAGGGTACTGCAACACTCTTAACAACAAACCTGATGAGATATTTGCATGGACAAGCCAATTGTGGGGTTAATGTTGCAACTCACAGGTAATCCAAGTATCCAACCCAAGTGAGAAGAGAGCAGGCAACAGCCAGCAAATGCATTGAAATCATGCCGCTCTTGGCTCCCATAGCAAGGAAGCTGCAAGTGGTGCTTTCATTAACTCACATTCTGTAGTAATTAGAGAAGATGACTCTTTGAGCTATCTGTTCTGTAAAGCATCATCCTTTTCTCCAGGGTCTCAGGTTTCATTTGAAAATTAGGGGATGTGAGAAGGAAGCTGGCATCATTCTAGACAGCTGTGGCCATGATTTCATGGCACTATTATTCAGGAATCGTGCAGACTCTGAAGAAGTCTTTATGGGTTGCAACAATTTCTCTACACGGCCTTTTACTTTTTCTTTTTCTTTCTCCCTTAAGGCTTAGATTAAACACCCTATAACTTCCTCAAGCTCTTTCGCTTTTGCACATTTTAAAAAAGAACTACTTTTTCCAAATAGCAATTAAACTCCAGATTTATGTAAATTATACCGGCAGTCTACTGATCATAACATTAACTCCAGGGGAAAAACCAAGCAATGAAAGGTTAGGTTTTCTCTCTAGCAAGAGAAAATTGACAGGGTCCTTGTTAAGTGTTTTCTAACACTGCATGCACACAGGGGAAGCATTTTAAAAATAGTTCACTGGTTCAAACGGTTTGTAACACCAGGGAGTACATTTTCCATGTTTTGGTCTCTGTGTAAGTTTTCTCCCTGGGAAAGCTGGGAGGAATCACTCCCTCACACCTTTTCATTACATTTCCTTATATTTATCCACATTCATTCTTAATGTGATTCTTCAGAACTAATCAAAGTGCTGCTTAAAAATGAGTGCAGTGAAAATATAACTAATTCAGATGAATCAGAGTATAGACAGTCTGAATTAGATATGTCTGAATTACATAACTTTTTTAAAGCAATTCAATTTTATTGCTTTCAAATAACTTCAGAGTAACACAACTGAACAAGCATCAGTAGGCAGATGTTTTTAGAGACCAAATTTGGTAATAAATAAGAAGGAACTATAATTATTCTATTAATTGCTTGCATTTAAGCGATGCTTCTGAATTGTCAACAGAAACTTAACTCCCTTAATTGGACTTATTGTGCTTCCAATGTTATGTAACTAAAAAAGGATTTATTGAACATCTGCTATAAATAAAGCATTAAGGGAAAAAGTATATGGTAGTTTTTGCCCTCAAAAAGTTTATAATCTTGTTCGGGTAATGCAATGTACTGTTAAATCAACCTCTGGCCATCTTTTTTACCGATTCACTTCCTTATAACTAGTTTTCTCCAAAATTGGGATAGTTTAAGTGACACTTCAATTCTAGTCTAACTTATCCAAATTGCTAAACTAGTGAGATTATACTGCTTGGATTTATTTATCATTAAGTCACTATCACTCCCCAGACATTCTGGCCTCTGAATGTCCTGTTTCTTGCTTCCAATCCTCTTTCTCAACATCCCAGAGCCAGACATTCTTAATCTCGAGTTAGGGAAATTGGAGCTGATGAGGACTCTGCTGCAGCCTCTCCCTCTTGCAAATGACAAGGCATCGCCAAGTCCACCTCACACAGGTCCTGCTGACATATTCTGACCATGGGGTAATTACGTCCACGAATCTGCCAAATTTTCAGGCCTGTCCGGCAGAGAACTCTACCACACAGAAACTAAACTACTTTTCAAACACAAGGTCACAGGTGATGGTTTTGTTTCAGTTGAGAGCTATCAGCCCACCCCTTCATTAAGTGGTAAATAAACATCTGGGTGGTTTTTACCTGGTGTTCCAAGAAACTGAGCTCATTTGTGACACATACTAAGGCATAAAAACTTTAAGAAACCCAAAATTTCCAAGACATTGGTTCTAGGACCACTTGTTATCCACTTTACCCCCGTCGCAGAATCTTAAAGAGAGACTGATACAACGAATGAGAAACTAATAGGAGGGCATCCCCTAGGAGTTAAGACTAGTACCAAAAAAGGAGGCTGAAGAAATCTGTTGGTAGCAGAATTCTAAGGTCCTATAGGTCATTTCATTCCACTAGTTTTCTCCTTTATCCACAGGGACAAGTGCATGGTCACCATCAGTGATATGACAGAACTGACTTATACTATGGAGACAGCTGATAATGGGCAGTTCTTCCCAAGTCCTCCTGCAGTGATTTCAAATTAGATCATGGTGAGAATATTTGCATCATGGAAACTGGTAAATGCTACGTATAAGTCAGCTCCTCCCAAACCCAAAACAAGAGCCAGTTCTTATAAACATTTCCCAGTCCAACATCTAGTCTCATCTTTGTTTTCCCAGGTTTAGTGGTAACTATTCCCTGAGAAAGCCCCATGGACACATGCTTGCCTCACTGACCTGGGCTCGGTTGGTGTACAGCACTTTCACGTCCTTCAGCTTCTCCAAACCCTCACTATAGTGCAGGATAGCTGTTTCATAATTGCCTTCAGCAAATGCTTCATTCCCTTTGTCTTTTAGGGCTATGGGAATATAAGTCACACAGGTGAGCTCTCGCCACACATCAGAAAATCTCTCAGACTTTATTCCCCCGATTTTCCAATTCTACTTTGAAGGTCTTCACTTCTATTGATCCTAAAGGGACTCAACATTTGTTTTTCTCTGCAGATATTTCAGGACCAGCTTCTTCAAGTATATTTTTTTTCTCCAAATCCACCCATGTCTTCTAAGTAGATTCTCAGAAAAAGTAAACGTTTCTGCACCGAGGCTCAGAACCATACTAAGTTTGCCACAGAGACCAAATCTGTGCATTCGGTGTCTCATAAAGAGGGTCAAATAATTAATTTTCCCAACAAAGATGGAATCATTCAGACCTGCAGCACACACAGCCCTGGGTGGTATAAAATAAATTGAAAACATTCTTCTATCGTATATATCTCCCCACAACATACACAATCCCATCCCTTCCTTTTCCTTGATTTCTCCTCTCTTTCCTCACAGCTGTTTTATTCTTCTTTTCCACTTCTTCATCTATGCCTTAGGCTAGCCAGTGGCAGCTCACTCTCACCCCCCACTACTTCCTGAGCACTGTTTAGTACGATTCACTTTGCTCTGCTAAGTGCACAGGGATGCTTTAGAAAGAGGTTTCACTGGAGGTAGGTACATCCTACCCCCTGCTTGTTGCAGCAGGAACAGAGAAGAGACCACCAACGATTTCCTTCTGGCCAAGTTCCATTGCCTCGAGCCCATCACAAACCTCACCACTGGGAATCTAGATGTCCTCAAATGTCAGCATTCAGGCTTTCGTGTGCTCTTTCTAGCACAAATCATCCCACCATTGAAATGTAAGGACTGACAATTACCATCTGCTAAGACTTTGTTTTCCCTTCTTCTCTTGGCTCGTTCCTTTGCATCCTTCTCCACAGATGCCAAGAAGGCCTCTGACAGCAGGGTAATTTCAGATATTAAAAAGGAAAATCCAAATACTATAATCAGTTATTTAGCTCAAATTCAGAAGAGTTACTTTAGAGTCACACGTATGCATATGCACACAGGCACACACACACGCACACACACAATTCTGAGGCAACTAAAATGACATTTTCTTAATTTGACATTAAATGGTAATCTGTGTGCTTTATTATTATACATGATGGCTATGACTGTGCTTCAAATTTGAATTATGTCTTTTTAAAAGAATTTTTCTTTGAAGACAGATTTTTTTGTTCTGTTTAGCATAATGAGCTTCTGAGCTGAGCAACAGAGAAACTATCTGGATCCCTTGAACAGGGTAAATTGGATGATACAGAATAAATGAATTGAGTTTACAAAAGGTTGACCAACAGAAAATAGAGAAAAACCTCTCAGGGACGTTCGCGCTGACCACTAGTAACAGAATGGGATGTGATATCAGTAGGTTTTTGTTCACAGGTTGTTTGTAAGCCCAGAGGCAATAATTTAAAGGTCTGGGAGCTACACTCAATCAAAATTGGTCCTATATAAAGAATAAAAATTGGGAAGAGAGATGCTATCCTTACCTGAGTTTACTTCTTCGGCACTCTGTAGATGTAGGTTATCATAAAAACAAAGAAACAAATTTCAAAAACCACTCTCTAATTTATATGCATATAAACCAAGAAGGCAAATCAATTACAAACAAGAGGTCATTTCCTTTAACCATCAAAACTGAAGGGATCAGAATTCAGGGGGCTTGCTTTAAATCAGGAGACCTGATTATGGGCACAATTGCTATGGGACCGAGTCTGCAAAATAAGGCTGCCCAGGTCAAGAGACCTCAGCTGTGGCTTATGAGTTGGAAATGAGTTAGAATATATTACCCTAAAAGTACAGCTTAAATATATCACACAAGCTCAGGGGGTGGAGAGGCGAAGTTTTCATTAAAATAGATTCAAAGGGTTGTTCAAAGATAACCCAGAAAGATCAAAGGAAAAAAAATCGAATTTTACACTTTCTTATAAAAAATAAATCTAATGAATCTAAGAAACAAAAGACCATTTCAGCCTCGCCGGACAGTTTGAGATGAAACTACTGCCTTGGTGTAGGTCTTCTCACTGTCTGTACTTATATAACTTCTCAATAGAAAAAGAAACCTTCACAGCAGTTTGTGGAGGACTGATCACAGTCTTATTCAAGGTGGTCCTGCATTCATCCTCCTCCTGGTCTTCCTCCATAAGCAGTAGTCTCTTTTCTGTCTCCAGGACAGCGTTCTGTTGCACAACTGGGTCATCAGAATTCATCTCCTGAATTAAATTGGCTAGAGAAGAAATCAGATGTGACTTAATCAAACAAGATATTCAAAAGACTCTATTCACTAGAAAGGATGGTGCATAAAATGTATGGGAAAGATCTTAAAGAAAAAAAATAGCGCAATCAAAAGCAAAATAGAGCTAGCAGAACCAATGAGAAAAAATTAACATACATATATATATATATATATATATATTTTTTTTTTTTTGCCTAGAAAAAAGTTGCAGGTGAGTGTAGCTATTAGCTTTAAGGAACAGAGTGTTAAGCCATTATTCAATTCAACAATAATTTACGGAGAACTCATTATTAGATATTATGTTGATGTTATAGATAACAATGATGAATAAAAAAAGATCCATTTTTGAAGAGTTTATGAACTTGTGTGGGAGACAAACATGTAAGTATAGGCAGCTCCGAAATCACAAAACAACAGCCCTTAACCCTATCCTCACCTGTCTTCACTGTACTGCCTGTCCAGCTTAGATTCCATGGTCAATCACTTGGCAGTCATCCTGCCCACATACTCAACTCCCTTGCCCCACTATCCCACCTAACAGACAAAATTCCAGCTCTACATGATTTCAATTACCCAATTCTCTCAGTCTGTATTAGGAATGCTAAGTACTGAAGGAGACAGATAGATGCCTGGGGGACTGGTCCAAACTCAACTGGACCTTCAGTGATGCCTAGCAATCCTTGTTATCCTAGGCAAGATATCCTATCATTCCCCCAATGACTTTTAACAGTTTGTAATCTGAACCTGACCATCTCAAAAAGATGACCTTATTTATCAATTCAGAGGAGAGAGATGCCATCAACTTCCTGCCACTAAAACTACGAAACTGCCTATACCTACATCCATCCTTCCTTCCTACCAGGAAAAAGTGCCCATTCTTCAGTGAGGTTAGTCCCTCATCCTGGGCCCAGGAGTCCATCGTCATGTTTTGCATAATCAGGAACCCTGCATCACCAATTAATAATCCTATTGCACAATATTTTCAACCCATTCCATTCGACCAGCTTCTTCCTAAATGTATTTATGTACTTTAAATCTCTCCTAATGCTCTGTCTCCTCCCCTTCACAATGAAACTTCTTAAAGACATTTTCTTGTTCCAATTTCTTCATTTCCCACTGACTCTTCAAGGAAGTTTGAAATTTTTTAATTGTACAATATTTCAAGTATACAGAAAGTAATATAACATTTTTGTTTCTATGCCATTTATAAGTTAATGGTATCTTTTCTCCAGCATGTTTTAATGCTTAGTATTTGTATCATTTAGATTTTACTGCATCACACACCAAGTCAAAACTTAGTGGTTTGAAACAAACCACCATTTTTGTGGCTTAGTTTACAATTCTCTAAGTCAACAATCTGAGCTGGATTCAGCTGGCCAGTTCTTCCAGTTTCAGCTGGACTCACACATATATCCATGGTCAACTGTCAGTCATCTAAGTGGCTCTGCTTTAGAAAGTCCGCTGGCTGTTGGCTTGAGAAATGCGAGCAACGAGGGGAAGTGTGTCTTACCTTCTCATGAGTGGCATGAGTGCAAGCCCCAATTCACATGCACTTTTCAAGCCTGTGTGTGTCATGTTTGCAAACATCCTGTTGGTCAAAGTGAGGCACATGGCCAACCAACCCAGATTTAAGGGGTAGAGAAATAGGCTCCACCCTTGATAGGAAGAAAGGAATTTGTAACCATTCTTGCAATCTATCAGAATATTTGTGTATGCAATATTTAAACAATTTTTAAAAATAGTTGTATAAAATGTGCATTCGTTTGCAACTTACTTTTTTCTCTTAAGATGCTTTAGACATTTGTTCTTGATACATATGGTTCAGTTGATTCATTTAAACCATTATATATACCATAGTTAATCCATTCTCTTATTGATAGCCAGGTGGTTTTTAATTTTAGTTTTTTCTAAAGTAAATAAATGCTGAATTGAATACCTTTATTTACATATTTCCCTGTGCACTTATGTTACAAATCCTTCAGGATGTGGCTGCACCAATTTTTACTCCTACAAAAGTGTACAAGAGGGAGTTCCCATTCTTCTGCATTCTTGTCATCACTTGCTAGGTTAAACTTTTTAATTGCTGTCAATGTAATGAATGGGAATAGTATTTCATTAATGTTTTAATATGTATTTTGCTGAATGTGATTGGAATTGAGCATCCTCTTACTGATTTGCACCCATTTGGATTTCTATGAAGAGCCTACTCCTATCCTTGGCCAATTTTCTATCGGGTCATTGTCTCTTTCTTACTAGTTAACATAATTTCTTTTCAAAAAAAAAAATTTTTTTTTAAGAGACAGTCTGGCTATGTTGTCCAGGCCGGATTTGAACTCCTGGGCTCAAGTGATACTCCTGCTTCAGCTTCCTGAGTAGCTAAGACTACAGGTACACACCACCATGCCTGGTTGATTTGATTGTGAAACAGGGGAGTTCTCTGATCCTCCTCGCAGGACATGCGACAGAGGTGTGGCTTGCCTGTTCAGTCACCACCACTACTCAAACCCCTGAGGGGAGGGGGAGACAAGTGCAGGAGCCCAACTGGGAGCATGTTACAGTGTGTCCTTTTAGCCCTGCCATCTGTGGACGACTTGAGTGTTAACCAGCTCGATGGATCCTCTGCCTTTTCACAAGGTTTTTTGTATCCTGAGGTTCTTTGTGTATCCGGAAGAACCGGGTCACACACAGGCTTGAAGGATGAATGTGGGGTTTTATTGAGTGGTGGAGGTGGCTTTCAGTGGGATGGATGGGGAACTGGAAGGGGGGATGGAATGGAAAGATGATCTTCCCCTGGAGCTTGGCCATCCAGGGGCCAAACTGCCCTCTGACTGCTCCCAGCCAAACTCCTCTCAGCGTTCAGACATTCCTCCTCTTTGCTCTGCTGCGTCATTCTGCCATTTGTCTGCTTGTGTCCTCATCTCCTCACCTGCTTGCCTGCTTCTGGAGCCTGCAGTTCAGGGTTTATATGGGCACAGGATAGGGGAGCATGGCGGGCCAAAAGGCAACTTTTTGGGCACAAAAACAGAAATGCCTGTTCCCACTTAGGGCTGCAGAACTCCAGGCCTGAAGGTGGGGTCTTTGCCAGGGAACCACCCTCTCCTACCCACTATTCCCGTCTCCTATCCTTATCAGTTGTATATTCTGGACTGGTTACATGTATTTCCAAGCATCTTCCCCTTGGGTATGCTTTGTCTTTTCATTTGTTTTTATGGAATATTTTGTTGAAGAGATTTTCTTTTTAATCTTAATGTGTTAAATATACCAATCGTTTCCTTTACAATTTAGGCCTTTTGTGTCAGTAAGGTTATAAATATACTATTTTATGGTATTTTATAAAAGTTTTAAAGTTTTTTTCTCATTAAGGTATGTAATTCACCTGGAGTTGACTTTCATGTAGGGCAGGAGCATTATTTGTTGAGAAGTCCCTGCCAGCAATGTGTCTCATCAGCCCTGTAATATGTGCGAGTCTGCTCCAGGCTCTGCATTCCTTTCCCCTGATTGTCTTTTCCAGCACCAAAACCTCCATGCATCGATTACTATGGCTTTATAATAAATCTTCAACATCAGCTAGGGAGAGTTGTCCTGTTTTAGTTTTGTTTTTGTTTTTGTTTTTGTTTTTCCTGCAGAGTTTTCTTGGCTCTTGCTGGTCCTTTGCTCTTCCATGTAAACTTTGGAATCAGCTTGCTGAATTTTAGTACATACTACTTTGGGGGTTTTGATTTAAATTGCATTTACTGTATAGAATATTTTAAAAATCGACATCTTTAACAAATAAGTCTTCCTATGATTAAATATGTCTCCATTTATTTAGCTCTTCTTTCATGTCTTTTAATTAACTTTTTTTATTGACTCAACTCCACACGTTATTCTTATTTCATTGTTTTTCTCCCTAATGTCCTTTTTCTATTCCAGGATCCCCTCCAGAACACTATATGACATTTAGTCATGTCTCCTTAGGCTTCTCTAGGCTGTGACCATTTCTCACCCTTTCCTTATTTTGATGACCATGATAGTTTTGAGTAGTACTGATCAGGTATTTCATAGAATACGTTGCAATTTGGGTTTATCTGGTATTTTTCTCATGGTTAGACTGGGTTACAGGATTTGGGGAAAAAGACCATGGCACATTATGGCATATCAAGGATGCATGCAATCAGCGTGATTTATCAGGAGGTTAACCTTGATCATCTGTCTGAAATTGTGTTTGTCAACCTTTTCCACTGTAAAGTTACTTTCTTCCCTCTCTTTCCATACTGTACTCTTCGGAAGCAAGTCACTAAATGTATCTCACATTTAAGGGGTAGAGATGCTCCATCTCCTTGAGGGAAGAGTCACTACATAAATTAGAAGGTAAAATATGGAGGAATGGATTTACTGCTTTCAGGGTAAACACAAATTCCTTACCATGGTTTCCAAGGTCTTTCCTAATATGGCCCCTCCATATTCAGATTGGACTCTTCTCTCCTTGATCTCTTCTTTCCAGCTATATGGGGCTTTTTATTCTTTCACTTCCTCAAAAGCACCACACTCTTTCTTCACTCTTAGCTTTCCTGCCTCCTTACTTCCCACCCAGAATAGTCCCCTGTCATCTCCTCAGTGACCAACTCCTACTCACTCTTCACATTTTGCCTAAATCTCACTTCTTCAGGAAAACTTAATTTGATTTCTGTTATAGACTAAATTGCATCCCCCCTGCCAAATTCACATGTTGAAGCTATAACTCCTGGTATGACTGTATTTGTAGACAGGGCCTTTAAAGAAGTAATTAATTATTGCCTTAATCCAATATGACTAGTGTCCTTATAAGAAGAGAAACACCAAATACATCCACGCACAGAGAGATGACCACGTGAGGGCGCAGCGGGAAGGTGCCCATCCTCAAGCCAAGGAGAGAGGCCTCAGAAGAAACCAAAACTGCTCACACCCTGGTCTTAGATTTCTAAACTCCAGAACTCTAAGAAAATAAATTTTGTCATTTAAGCCAGCCAGCCTATTTTGTTACAGCAGCCCTAGCAGACTAATACAACCTTCCAAAGCTGGGTTAGATCCCTACACTTTATAATTCTCTCTGTGTCTCATATTGCACACTTGAAATTACTGTTTAATATCTGTTTTCTTCACCGGACTATTGAAACCATGAAAAGAGGTAATTCTTTGACTATATTCTCTAGGGCCTACCAACACTCAACACATAGCAAGACCCCAAGAAGTAAATGTACAGAATCTATATACATGTGGCCACATAAATTTAAATTAATTGAAACAAGCCACATTTCAAACCTGGGCTGCAGCCATAAACACACAGAATCCTAACCACACAGAGTGGAGCTATAAGCCACATTTCAAATACTCAATAATCATGTGGCTAGTGGCTACCATAGTGGACAGTGAGGATTATGGCAAATTTTCATCATCACAGAAAGCTCTATTGTACAGCACTGGTATAAATGATAGCTGAATGAACTGTGAGTATCCATAAAAGTTAGCCAGGTTAAAAAAAAAAAGATGAAGAGGCAGTGGGAATGGCAAAGACCCAGTGCAGAGTGTGAAACACAGAGTATGTGTGGGGGAAACTATCAGCAGTTTATTGCTGCTCAAGCGTGAGGTAGGGAGATATGAGAGAGGTAAGGACAAGGTCATGGGAGGACTTAAGTCCTGATGAGAGCTTGGGATTTATTGTGACTGCAAAAGGAATCCAAGCAGAGAAGTGTCTGGGTCAGATTTGCATTTTAGATACATTACTCTGTGGGGAGTATAAACCTGGAGATAGGAAAAACAATCAGGGGGTTGTTGAAATAGTCTGGGTGAGAGGAACCAGAACAAAGGGAGGGTTGGAGAGGATGGCTCTCCAACCAAACTAGATGGCTAATTGGATGCAGGGTTATGAGGTGGGAGGAGTCCCAGATACTTGTAAATTTCTAGATGGTGGTGTCACCAACTGAGACCAGGATGAAGGGGAGGGTACGAGAAGCAGGTTTTATTTGGGAGGGGGAGAGCAAAGGGGAGGGAAAGAGATGATGCCTCAATTTTGGACACATTTAAGTTTGAGTTATTTGTGGGATACAGTAGGTACGACAGTGATCATAGAGGCAGAGGCTCAGAAAAGAAGGCTAAGTGTCCACGTAGATGTGGGGGTCATGAGCATACTGGTGGCAGGTAAAGCTACATGTTTAGACCAGCTGAAGAGAAAGGAAGCAGTGGGCCAAGGCCAGAGCTCCACGGAACAGCACTCAGGGATGAGCAGGCCCATGAGGCACACAAGGCATTATACATGTATCATTTATGATGCCACCCAAACTAGCTTTAAAACCAGTTGATTCTATAAACCCAGACAATCTGCTAGAAGCAGCAATTTCAACATATTTCTTGTATTTACCATGGAAGGTCTGTTTGCCTGTTGGTTGGTTTGTTTCTAGACTCAAACGAGCTCCCTGAACAGGGACTGACAGGTTTGGAAATTCCTGAAAGTGACCTGTGGGATCACAGTACATATTCTTTGAGATCCAACCTGTCTGAGCTTGGGAAAGGACTTTCTCATCTTGAGGGAGAGAAGGGAATGACGATCATAAGCCATCCATGTAATATGATGGATTCTAAAGGAAAGCCATTTGATTTTGCCTCTGCAGCTCTAAAACAGAAATGGCTCTACTCTAAAACGGGAGGAATCTCACACTGATCAATGAGGCTCTAGACCCTTGAAGGGAACAGCTAGGTTCATTGTCAGTGAGGAAACAGCAGCTCGTTTTGACCAGATTCCACAAAGAAGGATACAAAATATGGAGGAAAACCATCAGCCTGAATTCCTATCAGAATGTTAACAGTTTCTCTGATACCAATTAACAGCCAGAAAATACGGCCCCGAGGCTATAACTTGCCTCTCAATACCCTTCTGTTTAATTTCAATTACATTCTTTCCCTGAGAGTTACAAACCTGTCAAGCCACCCAGGAACTTAGAGTAATCACTTCCCTTTATCTACTCCACCTCTCTCAAGCAAAAATTAATTTATGATTTACTAGTACTTACTGATTTCATCCACATTTTTAAGAAATTTCTGCAGATCTTTCTCTTGATCAGCATCCATTGTGAACCGGAATCCCTAAGGGATGCAGCATAAATGATGAAATTAATAATAATAAAGCACTAAACAGAATGGTCAGGCTTATTAGCATTCTAAAACTAAGAGCCAAGTGATTATTTTTATGACAGTTTTGTTTATAAATGTCAATGAATAACAGTAGGGTGATCCGTTTCATTCCAACTGCTATTTAAGGCCAAGAGGCACTCATTTATGTGCGGCAATGCTTCCACAAAGCTTCCAGCCTTCCTTTCAGTGCAGAAAACGCTCTGCAAATAGTTCTTCCAAAGCTAACATCAATCCCGGCGATTTAGGGACCCGGCATGGAGATGAGGAGAGAGCAGATGACAGGTTGCCAAGGATAGAGAAATACACTAACTCCTGACTTTGATCATGACAGGCCGGTCTAGTCAGAAACTTAAATGTGGATGTGTGACAGGTAACAAACTTGGGGCAATTTGCATCCAAATGTCCATACCTGTTTAAAATACGCCTTTGGCTTGTTTCTGAAGAGTGAAGAAAGGGTACAAATTGGCTGAAGGGATTAGAACATGATGTTCTAATGCTCACCAGCGTCTCTTCTGCTCTAGGTACCTTAGACATTATTTTATAGTTGTTTTTGTGTGAGAAGGCTCCGTGGTCTACCCAGCGGTACTTAGTGCTTCATCCACAGATCATAAAAATTATCAGAAAGCTTGTTAAATACACAGCTTCCTCAGCCGTAGCCCGAGATTTCGAGTCAGTAAACCCGGGACAGTGCCCAGCCACGAATGTAGATTTTAAACCCGTTCCAGGTGATTCTGATTTACGGCCAGGTTTCATAGTAGTGTAACATGATTCTAACACGTAATCTGCCACGAACAAACTGCGAGTGATTTTAATCTGAGTCTGGGTGTCCTTATCTCCACCAGTTACAAGCTGTGTGATTCTGGCTAAAGTCACAACCTCTCCGAGCCTCAGAGTCCTCACCCATACTATAGGAAGGTTAGAGAGAAACCACGAGGACACTTTGGGGACTGATGTAAAGCACCAGGCACGCGACGAGCGCTCACTGTGAAGCACCCTTACCTATATAAAACGGGGTGGGGTTGCGGCTTAACTGAATGATCGGTAGGGTTTCTTCCAGGTCAAATCTTTTCAACTCCCAAGGAACAGAGGCCCAGTCCAGTGAATTAACCTGCCCAACGGTATGAGGGTTAGAAGGCAGGCACGCGGGTGCAGGGACAGGAAACAACCCCTGTCTCCCAGGGCATGGATCTCAGGGTCCTCACTGCCTGGCCAGTGTCACCCCCACGCTAGAGTGAGAGGGCCAGAGCCAGGTGACGGCGAAGCGACGCCGCCCTCGGTGTTTCACTGGGTAGGGCTGCGGCAGCGGGGGCCTGTGCCCGAGCCCCGCGCCGAGCCCGCCCCAGACGCGCGCTGCCCGCCGGGCGCAAAGAGGCCAGGCCGCCCGCACTGTTGCCCGGCAACCGCTCCCCGGCGTCCGCAGGCCCGGGGCCCTCCAAGCAGGTCCCAGACCGCAGCCGAGACCTTCCCATGCTCTGGGGCCCAAAGCAGCGTCCTCTGCTCGGCTCTGAAGGCCAGTCCAGACCAGCTCCCACGGGGTATTCGGGACACCCCGCAGCACCAACCTGACTCGCTCAGCTTTGGACAGGAAATGGCGCAGCGACTGGCCTAGGCCGGGGCGGGGCCAGGAGCCAGGGGCCCCGGGGCGGGACCAAGGGCGGGGTCAAAGGCCGGGGGGCGGGACCGGGGGCGGAACCGGGGACGGGCGTGGGCCCGCGATCACCACCCTAGAGCTCTAGCTCCGGAGCGCGCCAAGTTCAAGGCCAAAGTCGAGGTTGGGATGCCCGATGCCTGGCGCGGGGAGACGGAGGAAGCAAAGTGCTGGTCTCTAAAGCAGCGCCTGCTGCTCGCCTTTTTTCTCCTGAAGAGGGGGTGTCTCACTCCCATTAGCTTAATATCCTTGCCCAAAATGTAAAGTCTCCAGTGTAGTTGTGAATCCGGTTTTGTTCACTGATAAATGTGTGAGTTAGAAGATTTACACATTTATCCTTAGGAGAATTATTTGAGTAACCTTTTTAATCCTCAGTTTTCTCATCTATGAAATGGAGAAATGGCACTTTCTCATACGGTTCATGGTTAAAGTTCTGTAATGGCCCAACAGATTCACCTTGCTCACTGCCTAAACAGAGTTGATTTATCAAGACAGAGGGATTGCAATAAAGAAAGAGTAATTCACACACGGCTGGCTGTGAGGGATACTGGAGTCTTATTACTCAAATCAGTCTTTCCAGCTTTCAGGGATCAGAGTTTTAAAGGATAATTTGGTGGGTAGGGGTCAGTGAGTCAGGAGTGCTGACTGGTAGGATAGGAGATGAAATCACAGGGAGTCAAAGCTGTCCTCTTGTGCTGAATCAGTTCCTAGGTGGGGGCCATAAGACCAGATGAGCCATTTTATCCATCTGGGTGGTGCCAGCTGATCCATCGAGTGCAGTGTCTGTCAAATATCTTAAGCAATGATCTTAGGTTTTACAATAGTTTATGTTATCCCCAGGAGCAATTTGAGGAGGTTTAGAATCTAGCAGCCTCTAGCTGCATAACTCCTAAACCATAATTTATAATTTTGTGGCTCATTTGTTAGTCCCGAAAAGGCAGTCTAATCCCCAGGCAAGAAGCGGGTTTGCTTGGGAAAGAGCTGGTATTGTCTTTGTTTCAAAGCTAAACTGTAAACTAAGTTTCTCCCAAAGTTAGTTTGGCCTATGCCTGGGAATGAACAAAGACAGCTTGGAGATGAGAAGCAAGATGGAGTCAGTTAGGTCAGATCCCTTTCACTATCTCAGTTATAATTTTGCAATGGCGGTTTCAGTGCCTGGTACCTAGTCAGTAGGAACGGGTGGCAGACAACATCCAGAGAATCGTAGTAGGGTTTAGAGCAGAATGAGCTAATGGGCACATTCATTCACGCCCCAAATACGTGCACACAGCCCTAAAGAAATTTCAGTCTGTTTTTCTAAACAAAATCTCAGAGTATTATGTGCAGGGTTACCAATGGAAAAAAAGCAGGTTTTGAGGAAACTTGAGCTTAAGTTCATGGTCAGAAACACCTGGAACTTCTTGGCAAATGAGTGCTTTATGGAAACCTGTTTGGTAGGGAACAAGGGGCCCCTAGACATGGAATTCGTCAGAGGGGAGAGGGATCCAGGCATGGCCAGCTAGCTCTAATGTTGATTCCAAGTACAGCATGTTGACTCTCTTGTGGCCTAGGCCCCATAGGATGCATGCTTGTGTCCTGTAGAGAACAGAAGAGCTGTTTGACTGAAGTCTCTATGATGTATTGGTCCACATGCCATCCTGCTTGGGTACCCCCCAATGCAGCATAACACAAAGGGGCCAGGGATGTTCTGCTCCTCTTGGCAGCTGAACAGGTACAGCATCAGCAGAGTGAGCCTTTTCGCTCATCAGCTGCAACAGGAGACCTGGGGGTCCCAGCAGGACATGGTCACAGTGGCTATCCCAAGGGACTGAGGTGCCTCAGGAGAAGTAGCAGGGAGTGTAGGTGCCTGGCAGGAGCAAGGACGTTGATGAGCACAGGCCAGGGATCCTCAGAAAGATATGGGGTATTTTACAGTGACCTTCCAGCCTATGGGAATTGATGGAGACAAGAACCAGTGATGTTTTGGTTATCACCATTAGTATCATCCCATTTTCCTCTTGCTTGTGAGGCCTTGAACACATGAAGGCTATATGCCTATGGTCCCCAAACTCAGGATGTTTCTTATCACTTTGAGGCCAATTGTTCCAAATCACTTACTTCCTATCCTACTACTCTCTTCACTAAACTCCTTTCCTATGTTCCAGAGGTATCTGCTCACAACTGACTGTACCACATAACCATTCACTCACATATTCGTTCAGCAAATGTGAGTGGTCTATAGTGTGCTAGATGCAGTGGAAGGCCCCTGGTGTGCACTTGACATATATTCATTACACGCTAAGTGGTTAAGAGCTGGGGCTCTGGAGCCATTTTGCTGGGTTCAAATCTCACATCTCCACCTATTAGCATTCATTAAAATGTCTTTAAGCACCTACCATGCACCTTCTATTGTGCTAGGTACTGGGGATCATATTCCTCCTCTTTTATTGCTAACACTACTGAAACCATCCTTACAAACTTTATAAAATTAATCAGTGAAGCAGGGAAGGGGAGAAATAAAATAAGCCCAGCTTGCAGCACATTCAGCATGAACCACGAGGTCAGCTTGTTCTCTGGCCTGCTTCTTCACAATTGTTTGGTGTCTGTTATCTCAGCATCACATAGACCTGTTACAAGATTGTAGTTCCCCTTAACTGCGCTATAGATAACAACTTGAACATAAAACATTACGTTTTCCACTTGGAATATTCTTTCAGGTCCCACAAACCAGTGAAATTACTAATGTCAGCTGTTCTGAAGGACCCATTGACACCAACAGGTCTGAGGGCCCCACTGTGACCCTGTCCTGCTGGCCCCCGTCCAGGTCTCCTACTGTAGCTGATCAGAAGCTGACTCACCAAAGAATGCAGTTTCCAAATTCTGATACTTTCATCCCCCGTATCCCACCAATGGACAACCCCAGTTTTCTAGCCCCTCGGCCTCCATGATCTCCTTAAAAACCCCAGCCCATCACTCCACCGGGAGATAGATCTGAGGGGCTCCTCCTCACTCCAGCTCTCCGCGCCCTCACTTGGTGCCCTGTGATCTGATTCTTTCTGTGCTGCACATCCTGTTGTCTCAATGTAACTGGTCTGTTATACACAGTGGGCGTACAATATGCATCTGCTACTGCTACTGTTAGATGTGTGACCTTAAGCAAGTTACTTAATCCCTGTGGGCCTTAGTTTCCTCATCTGTAAAACAGAGTTGTTAAATGATGCTCTATCCCATAGGGTTTCTGTGAGAGGTACGTAAGTTAATACAGGCAATGTGCTTAGAACAATGCCTGGAGCATTATCAATAACTAGTAAGTATTATTAACTATTACTACAACTATGATTAGTATATGTTAGACCAGCTCCTCCGAACCTTGATTGTATGTAGAAATTGCCTGCGGATCTTGTTTAAACAGGCATAGGGGCTGAGGTCTGCAGTGACACCCCTCTATGGACTGTGGCCACACTGAGTAGCAAAGTGCAGATACTTCATTAAATGCTGGGATGCAGCAGAGCACCAGTGGTACCTGGTCACCAGACTCAAGGAGCTTACTTATCACCCAGGGGGAATAAGGGTCAATAAACAAAATCATCATGTAAATTCTCATTGTGATAAATGCTATAAAAAGTAAAGGGTGAAAAGAAAAGGTAGCACAGGGTGCCGTGAAAGTCTAGTCTCAAACACTGGAAGTCTTCCCTGATGATGTGGTGTTCAAGAAGAGACTTGGGGGAGTCAGTGGGCATTGGACAGTTAAAGAGGGAGGTGGAGAAACAGCAAATGGCATGGGCAGTCAGGAAGGAGCCTGGTATGGAGGAGGAACCAGCAGAACGCCAAGTTTGTCTGCTGCATGGAGAGCAAAAGGTAAGCAGTACAAGATGAAGCAAGGGCCAGATCACATTAGGCCTTTGAAAGCCATGTAAAGGTTTTTGGTCTTTATCCTAAGCACCATAGGCAGCCTTCCAGGGGTTTTAGCAGAAGAGTGACATGCTCAGATTTTTATATTTTCTTAGAAAGTTATTCTGGCTGCAATGCAGAGAATGATCTGAAAAGAGGTGAGAGGGACACTGGGAGCCAAGTTAGGAGGTTGATAGTGGGTATTGGCAGTAGGAATAGAGATGAATTTGAGATGTATTTTGGAGGAAGGATTGACAGCAGGAAAGTATCAATAATGACGTTAGGTTTCCAGCTTGATCCAGATTAAGGTTCTCCATTGGCTGAGCCAGAGAATATTAGAGAATCACATTTGGAGAAAAGATGAGTTCAGATTTGTGATATCCAGTCCAAAATGCCCATGAGTTATCCAAGTGTAGATGTGGAGTAAATTGATGATTGTCCCTTAATATTTATTCTCCTGTTCTTCAGATGTACCAATTTTTAGCAAGGCCCAAGACACATAGAATAGACTGTGTTTCCCAGCTTTCCTTGTGTAATACACGACCAAGTTCTAACCAATTACATATAAGCAGAGGTGGTGGTGCTGCTTCTGGGAAGTGTCCCCAGAAGGATGTTCTTTTCCTTGCCTTTCCTTTTCCTTGCTGATTGGAATGGGGACCCAATGGCTGGAGCTGGGTCAGCCATTTTGGACCATGATACAGAAGCATTGTGTTGAGGATCTAGAAGGAGACTGGGTCCTGAGATCATGGAGCTGCCTCACGAGCTTTGGACTGCCCAACTTCTTATTTCTATGTGAGCGAGACATTGAATACCAACAAGAGATACTTCCGTTGCTGGAAATATAAAGACTTTTATTGAAGATTCTGCTATCTTGGGTTTTCTGTCACTCCCAGTCAAACCTAATGTTAACTGATATGGAAAGCACTCTTCATTCATTCATTCATTCATTCATTCAACTAACACTCTCTTAATGTTTATATCTAATTTTTTCATCATAAGTCCAAATAATATTG